TTCTCCCCGTAATGATGGGTGGCCCGCCGCACCTGGTCGAGTGAAGGATTCAACAATTCTAATAATTTTAACACGTATGCTTTCGCGACCAATTTCATCCATAACGATTATCGTTGGTGCGGCTATTTTATAACACACAATAGACAGGAAGGACAAGTTCAAATGGCTCGCATAATGCATAATGTAAGTTGCCTCAGTAATCCACCCCCCGCCCCCATGTGGTGCAAGAGAGTAGAAGTTTGGTCACCACATCTACGCCTCTATATCAGGAACGAAACAGGTGGACTTCCCCACAAATCTGGCTGTAGCCTGATGAAGCTGGTTGTAATTCCTGGCGAAACGTCGTACTCAGATTGTAAATGTTGTGGCTTTGCTCTCCAACACACCGGTATGTGCTGTACTCGTGACGAATTGGCCACGTTCTGTTTACGTGACAACCCCTACTAGTTGGCTTTGTCGGGTGGTGGCGGGTTTTAACGACACATTTATACGTGTACGCGATTTAACCCAATCATCACTGCGTGCATCACGTAGATTTTTGTTGTTGTGGATTTGCACAAGTTGTCCGGATTGGGTTTCCTGTCACACCCTGCAGCCACGATGCACCACGATGTTCGAAATAATCGCTTGTTGAAATCAATTGTTTAAAACTGTTTTTTTTTAATTGAAGATATTTTATTCACCAGGTTAAGCCCACTTAGCGATTCGCTCTTTTTCAGAGGAAACCTCTGCATGCCTAATAGCTCATCAAAGTGGTTTATATCATCACACGTGGGGATCTATAGTAGCAGCCGAATAATGCGAAGGCATGTATCTTGTTGTGTCGGGGGGCAAAACCGCAGAAAGCCAGATAAAAATCCATGCACAGACCACGGGGGGAGAGAGAGAGAGAGCGATCACGCAAACTTCAAACACACAACAGGCATCGTCAGGGTCGGGATCGAACTCACGACCTCCTGCATACCTGGCGATGGAATTAGCATTTCCTTGACACCGCGATGGGCCATTGTAACCTTGAATTGTCACAATTTGGTGCAGGAGGGTGGGGGGGGATGGTAGTGAAATGCATTGCACAGGTTTGGGGTGCATCTTTGCTGGGGTTTCTCATAATTCGGAGCATACGGTAGAGATCAGTGCAAGGGCTTTTCAAGAAGTACAGAGGCACAATATATTTTCCAATTTGTTTGCATCAACATGACACGCAATTTTGTTCCGCAGTCACCCTCTGTCACAACATCGCACTCCTCATCCTAGCAGCCCGCAAACTTCCCGATTCCACCGGCGCGGAAGCGTTTGGGTTTGCCTTCAAGCCTTGGCTGCACCACCACTCACACTGCCGTCACGGCCTCGGCAATGTCAAACTCGTCCTGAACATTCGGCTTTTTTTTTTGTTCACACGACAGATGGAAGTTTGAATGGGCAATATCTTGGTTGTGTTCCCTTTGTTGCGGAACTTCCCAGCCGATGTGTCACGGAAATGTCACCGTGCGAGTGCCGAGTGTGGGCGTGCATACACGTGTGGGCACAGAGAGCGCACGGGAAAGTCGCATTACTCTGCAGCTGCATGCACGTTACTCCGCAGCAGAACAGCGAATGGCAAATGCGGTGCAGTAGTAGCATCCTCCCATCAATGGAAAACGAAAAACGGTCCCTCGTGTGACTGCTGTGGTCACCAGAGCCTGATCCAGCACTGCCTCCCGTACTGCCGATTTGTGAGCAATATCCATTAAGCTGCTAAAACGTCCACGTGAAAAGTCACTTTGTTGAGCTATCATTTGTGGCCAGGTCGCATACGCGAAAAAAAAGTTAATACCACAGTGGGCTTTATCTGGTAAGGTAGAAAAAATGGTTTAGTTTTATTTGTATATTTTTTTACGTGGTTTGTTTATCTTTCCTGTTGTTTGCATTCCTATCGTGTTTTTTGTGTTGTTCTGACCCGCTGGACATCTGCGAAAAAGAGCTTTATAGCTCATCGGATTCCTCCAGCATAAATAAAGATTCTGATGTATGTTGAACTTCTCTCGCACCGTACGTAGCGAACTGTGCCTATGTGGAGGTGCGGGGGAAGGACATCAAACTAAACACAAAACGCAGTTCTGGCGTGGATGTGGCTTTGACGATCACGATAAATAAATAAAAAACGATCGCCCTCCTGCCTCTCTGCCCTGTGTGGCAAAATCACCTCGCGCGTAAAATTCTTAAAAGACCTTTCAACTATTTTTTATTTATTTTACCAGCTCAGGGCCACTGAGCTGTATAGCTCTTTTTAAGAAGCAACCTGGCCACAAATGATAGCTCACCAAAGTGGCTTATCACGTAATTTAAAGCAGCAAAATAATAATTACATTTTTTTATCAAAATGCTCTAAACGCGTGATGTCGATCGTGAATGTGGCGGGCCAAAACCGGGGGACCCGGAGGAAAAAAAAAATCCACGGGGAGAGAGAGAGAGAAAATATTTCTTAATAACCTCAGCGAGTGAAACCTGATCCCCGTCCCCCTGAACACCCCCCCTCAACCCACCCATGACCTCTGACCCCTTCAACCCCCTCACGACCCCTGACCCCCTCAACCCCCCCACGACCCCCGCCCGCCCCCCCACCACAGGTGCGCTTCACGGGCCGCGAGCCGACGCGACTGTGCGGCAGCGACATGTCACGCGTGCCCAACGGCGGCGTGATGCAGGGCCGCGGGGAGACCGTCATCTACCTGCAGAGCGACGACTCGGTCAACGACGCCGGCTTCCTGCTCAACTACGAAGGCACGCTCGCTCCTTGCAGAGGGCTTGTTGCTCGCTTTGCGGTTCGGGGGGAGGAGGGTGGTGGTGGTGGTGGTGGAATGGTCGGCCGCCCTGGTTAATACCGTGGGTGTTTTAGGCACGCGAATAGAATATATGTGTGTATGGATGGATGTATGCGCCGTCTTGCTTCACGGTGGATGTTAATGGTTCCTCCGTGGCGTTATTCGACAAAGGGTAGGACACACGTGCGCTGCGTCACGGTCCACATTTGCCAAATTTGAAAATGCACAGTACCAACAAATTACTGAGCTGGGTCAAACCCCATAGTATCGTCGCGCGCGACTATTAAACAATATCCGTCTGTGAAGCATAGCATTTTCGTGATAACATAAATAAGCAGACAATACGCCTCCTTCTCATATATGTCCCTCCTCATTAAAAATAAATGCATACTTACACATCAGTTGCAGCGCCTACTGGGCGTGCAACATTTCAGCGGCATTGGCTCAACGCAAGCAAACTCCAGAAACCGGGCATTCGACAGTCAGTGTCTCATCAGCAGTCAGGCTTCACTTGAACCGATGCTGGCAAACCGCCCGATTTCAACAGGAAAGGAACCTATTATAATTGTCTTGCGTTGTAGGAATAATGCGATGCACTAAATTGTTATTGTTGGGATGCCGACCGCATTGATGTTAACTGCCAGCATCTGCGGCAGCGTAAGATTGGCGGTGCACGTGTGTGTGTGTGTGAGACGCTGAACGGTAAAGGCGCAGGTCCTGCAATTGCTCGCACACGCCACTGCTGGTGGTAGGGCCTCCGCTAAGAGGGCGCTCTGCAGAGCCCTCTCTAAGAGTGTGTTTTTGGCCAACTCGTCCACCCTGGCCAGACGACGTACCCAACCACACACGACCTGGAAGGTCTAAACGAGGTCTCAACTCGTCCGCAGTTTGCGTGGTTATGTACGTGTGTGTGCGTGTGTGCGTGTGTTGAACTTTTTGTGCGCCGTACGTAGCCGACCAAGCTATTCGGAGGTGAGGGAATCCAACGCTGCCTCACGGTTTTAGTCCAGAAGGCCAATAAAGCAATGGGCTAACATTATTTTATTTGTATTAACAGACAGGTGGTATTATGGAACTTATTGCGTTGTACATAATGCTGCACGCACGAGTGAAGCTTGATTGATATGCAATATACGAAGAGTGTCGTTTCCCAACTAATTCGACTGCAGCACACCGCATTAATGATTAAACGCAGCGACTGAAGCTTCATGGCCGTGTCCAGGCGAGGGCTCCAGAAACAATAAAACTGCCACCTCACGGTCGTTTTGACATCATTAATTACATTCAAGTTCTCCCCCCCCCCCACGAGCCAAAGGCGATTGGGCCGTGGTGAGGTCAGAAAAGCCAACATAAAGACGGTACCGAAGCAGGGCCCCCGTAGGACATCCTGCGTGTGCGTGCGTTGCTTCACGACTCTCGACCATATCTTAACAACAACAACAACAATAATAATAATAACAAAAATTGTCGAACGCATTCGTCAATATAACACTGTCAGCCTTATCAAGGAAACAAATATGCAACGGGTAACGTTTTGGGGGATGGTCCTCCTTCGCAGCACATACAACTAAAAAGGAAACTAAAACTACTTTTGGTATTTTACCAGGTAAGGCCCACTGAGCTATGTAGTTCTTTTTCACAAATGATAGCTCAACGAAGTGGCTTATCACGTGGACATTTACGTCAGGCAAATATCCTAAACGCGTGATGTTGATTCTCAATGTGGAGGGAAAAAACTGGAGGACTCGGAGAAAAATCCACGCGACCACGGGGAGAGAGACACGCAAACTCAGGCGTCAGGCGTCAGGATCGAACCCGCAAACTGCTGTATACCAGGCGAGGTGGTTAACATCTCGCCACAGTTTAACCACAGAGAAGCACAGACAGGCACGTAGGGAGGCAGTTAAGGCAGTGCTAGTAACGAACGTATTCAGTTTTGCTGTTGTCATTTGTGTCTTTGTGCTCCACTGCAAACGCAGCAGCAGCAGCAGCGGCGGCGGCAGAATCGCCAAATAATTCACGTAGGCCGATATCTGTGTTTTACACAGGGTTTTGAATTTTTGAATCCGTACGGTGTACATTTTTACAGTCATCCTAGGCTCTGCGCAGAAGGTATTATCATTAACATCTTCATCATCGTCGAGCAAATCTTTGGAGACCCTGCCCCTCCCCCCCCCTCCGCTCAAACAAGCCACGGCTATGTCTCAGCTCTGCTGCACCACAGCGACCAGGATTCATCAAGTGCCGTTCAAGAGATGCCACATCTTGACGCTCTCTGGGTTGCGGCGAATGTCAAGTGATAGCGCCTGGCTCATCAAGCGTACCCCCTCCGTCACCACCCCCCCCCCCCTCGCGGTCCACTCGGCTGAAAAGCTCTCAATTTTTTTTAAGTTAAACGGCAGCGATTTTCATTGCAGAAGGGCTTTAATTTGCTCGAGGGCGCCACAGGACTCTTGAATTCACCCCCCCCCCCCTCACCCCCCCCCCCCCCCCCCCAGAAAAAATCCATACGAATCGATCGCAGTCACGAGTCTGGGCCAAACAGGACGCGCGATGATGCGAGATCGAGTTTGGGGGCCTCGTTGGCGGTGGGGTGGGTGGGGGGGGGATGAGCGCTGAGAAAAGTCGGAGACGCGCCGATGGGTTTTCGAGTGGCTCGGACCGTGCGCGCCGTTCACGCAGAGCGACAGCGAGCAGCGCTCGCTCGCGTTCGGTCGTTGCCCTTCCAGTCGCTGAATTCGAGTTGCACGGACAATGATGAAAGGAAAGAACGAGAAGCCAATACTTTTTGGCCCTGCTTTCCAAGATGCTAAATTTTTGGCCTCGTGAGCCTAGAAATCGATCGCACATGCAAAACACTCTATGCAACACCTATATTTTTGATTTAAAGCTATATGTTATCTATGAATGGTATTCAAATGATGCTGCTGCACTAAGTGTTGATTGTGAAGATGATATGTTATAAATGTTTTGCCTTTTGGACCCTTGAAGGAAGTGTTGTTGACGTGGCCATCAAAACGGCGATTGCCAGTGTGCAATATTGACCACTTGGCACCTTATAATTACTTTTTGGCTAAGTGAACCTAGGAGTAGCTCAAGCCAGGTTTACTTGTCATTAATTGTCACTTGGATGACTAGAGCTGTAGCCGAGTCTATACATATGGTCATGATACGTCATCCAACAAACTGTGCATGTTTGACGTAATAATTTCATGGTTTATTCGAACTATGCAGCGTTAAACCGATGGCATTGGCAGTGGCGCAAAGCACAAATAACAAAACTCAACACATTCGTCAATAACACTTTCGCCTTAAACGCAAAGCAAATATAATAAGCGAAATTTCAGGCAGTGGTCATGTATAATCTTACATTCACGTGAAGAGAGCAAACACATCCATTGAAATGTTGCAGTTTAACACGTAGGCTCTCGCGACCAACATCATCCATAATAGAGGTCATTGGGTTAGATCGCGTCAATATACAAATGTGTCGTTAAAACCCGCCACCACCCGACACAGCCAACTAGCAACGGTTGTCAAGTAAACAGAACGTGGCCAATTCGTCACTCGTACGGCACAAATGTGGCTGTCGCCTGATGAAGCTAGTTGCAATTACTGGCGAAACGTCGTAAATGTTGTGGCTTGGCTCTCCAACACACCGGTTAGTGCTGTACTAGTGACGAATTGCCACGTTCTGTTTACGTGACAACCCTTACTAGTTGGCTGTGTCAGGTGGTGGCGGGTTTTAACGACACATTTAGATATTTACGTGATCCAACCCAAAACCTCTATTATGGACGAAATGTTACAATTGTAAGAGGCAATGTATTCGGCCAGCATTTTTTGTTTAAGCCAAAGTTTTCTTGCTTCCATTCTGTGCAAATGCAGTCAAGTCTAACTAAGCCTGTTGGGTTGTCATTCTTTTGATCTATTGGACTGAAGCAGTCAAAAAATGTACCATACTCTTGGTTTCCAAATGCCGGTTAGGTCAGAGTCTCAGCCATTAGCCAAAAAATGTCACCACAGATTTTCAAAGTGCGGCACTACCATGACAACGTTCATTCATTATCTACCTGTGTAATGTATTGTTGTGCCCTTAAATTTTTAATGGATGTTTAGCTTCTATCAACGTAGATCCCTTCAACTTAGTGTGAGCCAAATTCTTCCATATTATCTGTATTATCGTCTATCTTCAGAGACACATTTGCAGCTAAATATTGTTAAAGATGCAAAGTTCAAGTTACTTGTTATCAGGGGAGGAGGCCGATAGTAAATAGCAAACTGAAGCTGAGAGATTAGGAAAACAGACGTCGGTCAATTCCATGGGTCCATTTCGAGGGTCGGTCAGTAACCCCCTCAGTGGCGAGATGTTAACTACTTCGCCTGGTATACAGAAGGTCGTGGGTTCGATCCCAATCCTGGTACCTGCCGTAAATTTTGGAGTTTGCATATATCTCTTTCCCCGTGGTCGTGTGGATTTTTCTCCGGGTCCTCTGGTTTTTCCCTCCACATTTAGAATCAACGTGCTTTCAGAGTATTTGGCTGCAATACATTTCCACGTGATGATGAAGCCACTTCATTTCGCTATAATTTGTGGTCAGGACGCTTCTGAAACAGCTACACAGTTCGGTGGGCCTCCCAACATCATAACATATTACATGCATTTAACAAATTCCCAATAGTGTAATCCACGATAACGTATTTCATGGATTATGCACTATGTGAGAATGCCTCTTATCGGCAGTGATATGGGGGAACGATGTCACGGCTCCCCGGGGTTACCTCCGATTTTAGTCATCTTATCCGCGAGGTCAAAAAAATTGCAGATAACCCCGTGGCGGATAAAAGGATGAATTTACTACGTGACTCTCCTTATCTTGCAGAGTATTAGGAAGCATCTTTTTCTGTGCATTATGAGTGCAATCGCTGATAATAATAATAAAAATTGAGCCGGGGGATAATGGGAGTTTCAGCAGACCCTACAACTGCCGTGGATAATAGGAATCGTGGCTAATAGGAGTGCAGATAAGCATTCTGCTATACGTACATTATCCTTCCGAATTCAGCCTCAATATGTTTTGGTCTGGTCGCAGTCAATCACGCTTAGCCGTGGTCACCGTCGCGCTCGATGATTTCCGCTCATTTACGGTCATCACAATTAAATAAACACTCTCGCTTCGACTTCTTTGGTTCCTTCGGTAAAGTCACGTAGAATGAGAATAAAATAATCAATTAATAAAATAAAATAACACAATAAAATTATCTGGCCTGATGAAGGCCACTTGTGTTGTGGCCGAAACGTCGTGAGAATTTTATTGTGTTATTTTATTTTATTAATTTATTATTTTATTCTCATTCTACGTGACTTTACCGAAAGAACCAAAGAAGATGAATCCTTGCAGTCACGAAAGCTTTAAATCGAAACTCTCGCTTCGCTTAACCACCCACCGAGGGCGTATAAAGCGTGCATTCACGACTGGACTCAGATCGGTGTGTCCATTCGTTGGTCCGTGCTTTCTTCGATGAAATACAAAAAAAAATTACGGAGAAAAAAACACCGCAAAAAGAGGGGAGCGCAGTACAATCGAGGAACACGACAATCGATTAATTATTTAATCGAATCACAACCGTTAAGTGTGATGATTCATTGAATTGCCGTGGAGGTGAATCGCTATGTGCCTGATGCAATTAGCTCCGGAGCTTGACTCAACCCATCATCCGCCATGGTGCAATAAAATAAGTACCGCTTTTGTGGAGAAGCTAGCGGTGGTTGCCTTACGGGGAGACTTGCCCCCAACCGAAGGTACTGTGAATCTCCACCACGAAGGCTCAGGGCTGTAAACACTTCAACGCTCATTTGAGCAGGAAATCACTTTGACTTTTGACCTTCTCCAGGGTCATGCCTTAGCAACTCTGGTGAACAAACGTCGGTAAACAAACAGGCTGCATGTTAACCGATTCGCGAGCATGCAGCGAGCAATTTAATGGGCTATGGGACCTATGCGGATGCAGTTTTTTTGTTAAATGGGTGATTAAACCCCCCCCCTGCCCCCCTTGGGGAAAAATAAAATAATGTATTCTTCTGCCCCTCACCTCCTGTTAAAAACAAAATAGTAATGAAATCCTCCCACTCAAAGCAACTCGACAAATTAAACGCAACCCTAATTAGAAACTTGGCCCCGTGTGTCACAGGGGCCACTGTCAAACCTGGCCGGCATTAACAATTGAGGCACCGGGACGATGACCTATTGACCTTTCACCCACGCATCATCGGCCGCGTGTCGTAGAGGATAATTGTGCAGGGATCAGGAGGGGTGGGTGGAAAGCTGGCCCCTCTAGCCATCACCGCTGCCACCCAGGGCTTCCATCAGATCCAACTCAGCCAAGGCCCTCAGATCTATCACAACTCCTCGCATGACCGATGATGTATATCAATGGGCTCATAAAAGAGCTAGGCAAAAGCAAACGAAACAAACTAGTTAGAGACATCTAAGAAACTAATGTTTTTATCTAAAAAGAGATGATACATTTTAACCGTCATCATCAGCAGCAGCCTTTCTCTACGCACTGCTAAATGAAGTCCTCTCCATACCGTCACTTTTCGTTATGGCCCTGCGATGCCACAAAATGCACGCCACTCCAGCGCATGGACTCATCCCATAGCTGCACCTCTGTGGTGGCATTCAGGCTCCGTTCCAACCTTTGGCTGCTATTCCATCGCAGTCTCTCATTGCATTCGTCATCATCTCTTCTCCCACCACACCCTTGCACAGGCCCACTTCATTTTCTTTTTTCTTTTGTTCATGTTTCCAAATTACAATCAAATTGCATGTATGTACGTTGAACTTATTTCGCGCGGTACGTAGCCAACCGCGCTAATCTGAGGTGCGGACGCTGCCGCTGCCGCTGCAACTGTGCCTCCGTTGAAATGTGCGATGTCCGCAGTACTAACCCAGGTACTTGCGTTGCTGCGGCATAACTCTCTCTCTCTCTCTGTCTCTGTCTCCTCTCCTCCCCATTGCAGTCATCCCCCCGCCGTGCGACTCGCAGCCGTGCCAGCGGGGGGCTCGGTGCGTGGAGATCAGCCAAGACGACTTCAGGTGCAACTGTCCCAGAGGCTACACAGGGAAGGTTTGCGAAATAGGTGCGTGAACGTCGCGGTCCATCGCTACCTCCAGCGCAGCTGAACGCACGCACACGCACACACAAAGACAAAGCTCTCCTGGGGGCAAGTGCTGTTAACGAGCACCTATGATTATAATATACCTGTCAACCCCCTTATCAGTGCCTTACCTTATTACAGACCAATTCAGACATTATTGCTCACCCGGTGACCCTTATAAATCTCAACGTTCATCCTACAAAGTCCCATAACAAGGGCCAGCACCACGCCCGGCCGCCTTTATCTCCCCAGTGGTGATGTTTTACACGCACGCACCACGTACTCATTTGAGGCTGAGTCGACATAGGGGAGGCCCAGGACCGGTTCAGATATTCGTCACCGATGTTGGCCGTGAGCGGGAATCGCACTTGGATGAAGGGCTTTGTAGCGCAGTGCGCGAACCACGACACTACCTGCTCACTCATACTGGCACACACTCGTGCACTCACCCACACGGTTGACCAAGCACAGCAAACAAAATAGCCGCTAAGGTCCACTCCCTTCCCCCCATGACGATCGGAATAATTAATTTTATTCAGGATCGTAACGCGATTCAGGAATTGATTCATGTTGCAACCCAGGTGAACACCTGTTAGCTGCCACCCTGTCCTCCGCAACTCCTGTTACATACAGAAAGCTGTTGGGTTTGCGAAGACTCCTATTATAAGTGACCCTATTCTTTCCGTAATCCGTGATTATCTGCACGGCTCCCTGTTACGCTACTTGCTTTTAGAGTTAAGCGGCAAATCCTTCTAATTATTCGCATTTTTTTTAGCGCGGGTGAGTGGAAAAAAATAGCGGATAACCCCACAGTTAATAGGATCGGCGATATTGATCCCTCACTGTACTGTGGTGAATGCAGCAGCCACGAGTGTCTGCAAGGGGTCACGTGAACTCATGGCATGTACTACGACTGAAGGAAGGAATTTTACGATTTCTATTTACAATTATTATGTTGATTGAATGTGTGTGGGGCTTTTGAAGTGCTTAGTGGGCATGTAACAAGGCAACCCTCTCCCAATTAGATGAATAGTAGCATTTTTATTGAAGATTCGTTGTATAGCCATGTGTAGTGAACGTAGAATTTATAACAGCTGCATGTGTCACGTGACCCAATTACATGCAACAAATATACAAATTGAAAAATATTGATTTTAACACACACGGGAGCTTAAATATCGATATCAATCAATGAATCAATGCAACGTAACACCACTTAATAAACACACTAAGCCACCCACATCACCACCGCTTGCATCACGTAGAGGGATTGGAGCCTAACTTCAAGGCATCATCTGACATGAGCTCATCATAATAATATCATTATCATGACTCATTCAATTATTCTGACGAGTTGATGATCTCAACCCAGTTACCGATGACTGCACGAAGCTCACCAGTAATATTAAATTAGTCTTCTCACTTAATTATTATATTAATTTCCCTTAAATGCTCTGGTTTGATTGGCACGTAATGAGTGTATGGGAACCTGTAGCGCCCCTTGATGTGAAACAAATAGGTCAATGAAAGGGATCTCAGAAGTAGTTACCTGATATCACCTTCCGTAGGCCATACTCTAACATACATACCTGTCAACCCATACGCTTCGCTCATATTGTTGTACAGGGAAATTGAGTTTTAAGTTCCAAACGGCATCAAGCCGTTTCAAAACGGGCAAAAAAAACAAATTTCATCTATTTGTTTGTGTTCCTCCCCTGTGATGGGGCTTTGTAGGATGAACGTTGAGATTTATAAGGGGCACGGGGTGACCAATAAGGTCTTAATTGGACTGTAATAACCTATGGCACTGATAAGGGGTTGACAGGTATGAACATTCCATTGCACTGCTCTGAAAGAGTTTCGAAAGGGGTCTTCATCTCGTATAGATATGTATTTTGAACTTTTTTCGCACCGTACGTAGCCAACCGTGCTGATCTCGTGACGTGACACCGACAGCAGAGTTAACATTCAACTCTGAATCAGATTTTTGCGAGAGCTTCCAAAGAAACAAAGACATTGCTGCGGCCAGAATGGTCCCGCACTAATGGCTCGGTGCGACTGGCCAACGACAGCCTTGTACGCCGCCCTTAATTGGAACACCTTGACATGGGGATGTGGAATTTCCACGCACGGACATGACCACGTGCCCCGATCGATCGTCGAAGCAGGGAGGCACTGCCGCTCATGCGACTGCGCGAGGTTGATTGCAGGAATCCGGGGGAGAATGCCACAGTGGTGTCATGTGACCTTGATTTATGTTTGGGGAATGTTTTTTCGATTTTTTTTTGCAGGCGGGGTGGGGGGGTTCTCACGTGGCACAGTTGATTTTGTGCCGAGTTATATTTGCGTCATTTGCTGACAGTTTTTGTTGTTTCTTTCGGGGGGGGAGGAGGGGTGGGTGGCGGGGGGGGGCAATGCCAGATTGTCCCAGTAGCAAAAGTAGCAACATATGTAGCTACGGAGCCCGCACTTTCAAGGGCCCCGCGCTAAACGCTTTCAAGCTATCAATTCCGGGTTCAGTGATTCTGCACTTGCTCTATGACTATAGTACCATACCACCTTCAACGACTGGGTGTCTTAGGTTAGCGATTGGTCGCATTATCTGGCATGTCTAGGAGATGAAAAAAATACAATTACTTTGCTATTCTAGTTAAACAATTAACGTGTTTTAATATTTACGTGTGGTTTAAAAAAAAAAAATTAGGACCCCTCTATAACATGTGCTACAGGCCCCTCGCTGACTTACTCCGGCACTGGGGGGGTTGGTCACTCGTGCGCGTCGCGAGGCTCCCCCATCTTGGTCTCTCGACGTTCTCGCCCGGGTTTAAAGACCGCGGGCTTGAGAGCCCTGAATATGTGTGTGCGGTGGCGCGCCAGCGCAGGGCAAGGTGCGTGAAATTGTTCCCGAGGCGCTCGACACAAAGTCTGCAGCCGTGACATGCCGGGGGCGAGCCCTGTGACCCGAACTGCACGCGTTTCTCTCGCGTCTAAGATGCAGCAAAGCGGGGGGGGGGGGGAGGGGGGAGGGTGGGGGGAGTGGGGAGCCCCTTCTTGGCCCTGTTTACGGCCCCGGCACGAGTATCGACTGACCGCGTGTATCGTACGAGCTACGGACGGAGAACTCGCTTGCTGCTTCAGTGAATCGTACATGGTGTTATTAAAGTAAATAAAAAAAATCGGGATGTTGTTTTATCGTTCCCCCACCTCCCGCCCCCCCCCCCCCCCCCCCCCCCCCCCATCTCTTGCTGGCAGGAATAAAAAAAAAATGAAACATTTCGCTCGCGGGGAGGAAAATGTTTTCTGTGTTTTTATTTTGTTCTGCTTAAATCAAACCGTGTAATGTTTGCTCAAGCATCAACAATTCAACTTGCCGTGTGTTATGTGTATAGCACCCCCCCCCCTCCCCTCCAGCACGGAAGCGATGACCTCAAAGTGAGGTGCCTTGCACTCACGGCACATTGAGTTACCGTACTCTCCGGATCATAAGGCACTCTGTTTTTCCTCCAGGTATTTCAGAGCAAACGTTGGGAGTGCTTCTTCTTCTTCTTCTTGTTTGCAGAATGCATTGTCTCCCGGAAGGGTGTGTTTCCATCGACTAGTCGCTTCATCGCATTGCATGATTGCGCAGAGGACAGAAGACACCACTGACCATTTAGTATAATCTTCCAGATGACGGTATCCCCATTTAAAATCAGAACGTTTATTAAAATCATCTGGACGATGGCTCTCCAAAGCAATACCGTATTCCCCAAACAATAAGAAGCATTTTTATTTAAAATGAGCCAAACGTTTAAGGTGCGTCTTATTTTCCATAGCATCTTATAATCTGGAGAAGACCGTCAATACCATGGTTACCGTTTCCCCTGACACTTCACTCGTCGATCCCTCCACTCAAGTCTACCAGACTGAGTCCTCCACTGCTCCATCTCATCCACACTGCGTTTAACCACCGCACCGCGAGGTTACGACCACACACCCACTCAGTTATCCACCTATTCACCCATTCACCTTTTCACCAACTACACTGCAGGTCACGAGAACGAACTCACCCATCCACCTCTTCACCCACTCACCAAATACACTGTAGGTCACAACAACACACTCAGCGAGTCACTTACTCACCCACTTGCCTACTCACTCACCGCACTGATGACCATGACGCTTCTCAGTCTGCTATGCCCCTTCCATCGCTCCTCTTTGAAATACCCTCTTATCCTCTTTTTCCAAGCTCTTGGAATAATAATGGCCTTGTTCCATTCAAGAAAGGTGTTAACTCGTATATATTCCAACCTCGATAGTGCTGTTCGTTGCTGGTCCCTTGACGTTCTGGACCTTTGGATCTGTGTTCAGAAACTGTGCTGAAGAAAGAAAGATGGTGATTACATTCAAAGCTCACGCTCACAATGCGTTTCATTAAATACTCTTTGCAAGAATTGATTATGGAATTTCAGCTCCATGTGCTGTACTATTATCTCGTAGCAGGATATGCAGGAGGATTTATTCACAACTCTAGCTGTCGCCTGATGAGGCTGGTTGTAATTACCGGCGAAACGTCGTACTCGAATGGAAAATATTGTGGGTTTACTGTCCAATATACCCGTGTGCTGTAAGAATAACGAATTGGCACGTTCTGTTCACGTGAAAAACCTTATTAATTGGCTGTGTCGGATGGTGGCGGGTTTAACGACACATTTATATTTATGCAATCTAACCCAAATAATTATATTGTGGAGTCTTTACCTTATTCTTAGCTCTTTCGGTAAAGTCACGTTGAAGGGAAACAATAAAATAATAAAATACCGAAAGAGCTAAGAATATGATTTACTGCAGTCACGAAAGCTTTAAATACAAATTTGAGTCTTTACCTTCTTTCTACTGGCCTTATCATCACACTCCACTTTTAATTTTGACTTTGACCTCCAAATCTATCATCATGCCCTGTCAAATATCACCCCACGCTCGCGTTTTTTTTTTTAATCCCGTCATAAACGCGTTTAACTTAAAATTAAAAACAAGCGTCCTTAACCCAAAACAACTTACGGTTGAGGGGACCGGAAATGCCCTCTGCTCCCTTGCAATTTCGTCTTTTGTTTGTTTTTTTTTTGCTTGAGGGGTTAAATTCTCAATGCAGGGCTCGTAACACCGGAGCCAGAACGGCGCAAATTGCTCGTAATTGCACGCACTCCCTGGGCCACGTTCCCCAAGAGTTCTCTGCGAGCCCGCGTTGCTCACTTATTCCTCGCATCTCCTCGCAAGCCCCCCGCCCCCCCCCCCCCAAATAAAAATGGGAACATTCCGCTCGTTGCGTCTCCACGGTGACGGAGTTCACTTTCCTCGCCCGTGGTCACCTTCCCTCTCGCGGCAACGCTCCCGCTGCTGCTTAAGAGCCCAAATTTGCAACCGTTCACCCGCACCACCGCCGTGTCCCAGGTGTGGGTGCACCTGCCGAGCCAGTGTGGGGTGTGAGGGTCGTGTGTCGTGGAGCGGCGGCAACAGAATACAGAGGGTTCACGCGACAACCGTTGACCCGGGAAAGCGTCGCTGAAGTCTCGTGCCTCGTTTTTCAGGAGGGTCCTGCCAAGTAATTTTTTTGTTTGTTTTTGCGGTAGAGGGCGATGATTTTTTTTTGGTGTGTGTGTGTGTGATTTTACGTGTGGCATGCTGGCCGTCTTTCGCACCGTACGTATCCTACCGCGCTAATCGGAGTTGTGAGGGAAGGGCGATAAACTAAACACATACAGCAGTTCTCGAGAAATTAGTTTTAAATCAAGCTTAAAAATTGCATGGCTCCAGTGGCTTCCTAATATCGCAAGGAAGAGCGTTCCAGACGGGCGCAGAAGAGCATCTAAACGCGCGCGCGGTGCGGCGACCATCTTTGTTCGATGGCTCGCCAAAAGCCGCTGCGGCGAGGATGACCGAGTTCGCGTGATGGTCTCTGCTCCTTGACGAGATCGTCAAGATGTTGCGGTTCATTTTTGGCAAGCGCTTTGTGTGTGTAATGAGTGCGACCTTATAATGTTTTGTTATATATGTGATTATTTTAAAGGTTTAATTTGACCATGATCTCTGCACAGAATGGCCTGCTCTTATGAATGACACGACGGGATCTTTAACGCTCACTGTGCAGCAGATGGCGTGTAGTATTATTTTTGGTTGATACGACAGGATGATAATAACCAGGGCAGCTGCTGGTTTCGAACCGTGAACCTCTGCAACAACAAGCGGCGAACGCGCTACTGCTGTGCCATGTCATGTACCCGGTGACCTGAGTTTGATTAGAGGCCATGACTAACATCAATGGCAAGTTGTGTGAGTTTTTAATGAGTGCTAGGCCCTGTGTGTAAACATTGGGTTGTGTACCAACTTTCAAGGTAAATTTAAAAAAATCTGAACATTGAGCCTAGATATAGAATATTTCTGATTAACCGAAAATTTAAATATATTCGGATTGATATAAAAAGATATCACAAGAAGTGATGTCGCTTCAATGGCGACTTGTCTGCCCTTTTCCCGCCAAAAGTGGCATCACGTGGCATCAGGTGACATCACTTGTGTTATCTCAACGACACGCTTAACTACCGCAGTGTTGATGAAACATCTGGAAAAGATTCGAAATTGTCCTAAAAATACAAAATACAAGGCTTATCCCGAGAAAAAATCAGCTCTTCGGAGACAAAAGTGACCTGGAGTGGTCCTGGGGCTACGCAACACCCTGTACTGTTCGTCTGTTGGCGTCCTCTGGTCTAACACTGGTGAGACAAGGCCCTAAAGGACAAGGCTTTCTCTGGTGTAGGCCAATCAGTTTCAAAGACAATGCGTATATGAATTATCGGAGCATGTTTATTTGAACGTCTTGCCACAAGTAGGTGTGGCTAATACAGACTCGATGCCTTGAACGAGATGTATATTCGGTATTTGAACATCTTAACACCTATTTTATTGCCAGAAAGGGTAAAGCCTATTTTCTTTGGCCACTCCCTTGCCTGCCATGCCATTCTAAATAGGCGCACTCAAACAGCACTTGCCCTATCAATCTAGTATGACTATATGGCATATGTACGTGTGATGATCGATTAGATTGAGGAGCAATAAAGCAATTGGTCGAGAGCACTTCACTGATTTTATCAACCATAGTTGTGTTCAATGCCATGAGCAGCAATACTCACGTTTGGAATATAAACCTGCCATTGGCCAACGTTTGTTTGACAAGAACCCACGTCATCACAATGGACCAAAATGCATTTTCAATTAACATTGAGGGTGATTTTCGGTCCGTTCTGGGTACAGTGAGCGAAAAAGGTATTTGATCCCCTGCTGATTTTGTACGTTTGCCCACTGACAAAGAAATGGTCAGTCTATTATTTTAATGGTAGGTTTATTTGAACAGTGAGAGACAGAATAACAATTAATAAAATCAGGAAAAACGCATGTCAAAAATGTTATAAATTGATTTGCATTTTAATGAGGGAAATAAGTATTTGACCCCTCTGCAAAACATGACTTAGTACTTGGTGGCAAAACCCTTGTTGGCAATCACAGAGGTCAGACGTTTCTTATAGTTGGCCACCAGGTTTGCACACATCTCAGGAGGGATTTTGTCCCACTCCTCTTTGCAGATCTTCTCCAAGTCATTAAGGTTTCGAGGCTGACGTTTGGCAACTCGAACCTTCATCTCCCTCCACAGATTTTGTACGGGATTAAGGCCACTCCAGGACCTTAATGTGCTTCTTCTTGAGCCACTCCTTTGTTGCCTTGGCCGTGTGTTTTGGGTCATTGTCATGCTGGAATACCCATCCACGACCCATTTTCAATGGCTGAGGGAAGGAGGTTCCCACCCAAGATTTTACGGTACATGGCCCCGTCCATCGTCCCTTTGATGCGGTGAAGTTGTCCTGTCCCCTTAGCAGGAAAACACCCCCAAAGCATAATGTTTCCACCTCCATGTTTGACGGTGGGGGTGGTGTTCATGGGGTCATAGCATTCCTCCTCCTCCTCCAAACACGGCGAGTTGAGATGATGCCACAGAGCTCCATTTTGGTCTCATCTGACCACAACACTTTCACCCAGTTGTCCTCTGAATCGTTCAGATGTTCATTGGCAAACTTCAGACGGGCATGTATATGTGCTTTCTTGAGCAGGGGGACCTTGTGGGCGCTGCAGGATTTCAGTGCTTCACGGCGTAGTGTGTACCAATTGTTTTCTTGGTGATTATGGTCCCAGCTGCCTTGAGATCATTGACAAGATCCTCCCGTGTAGTTCTGGGCTGATTCCTCACCGTTCTCATGATCATTGCAACACCACGAGGCGAGATTTTGCATGGAGCCCCAGGCCGAGGGAGATTGACAGTTCTTTTGTCTTTCTTGCATTTGCGAATAATCGCACCAACTGTTGTCACTTTCTCACCAAGCTGCTTGGCAATGGTCTTGTAGCCCATTCCAGCCTTGTGTAGGTCTACAATCTTGTCCCTGACATCCTTGGAGAGCTTTGGTCTTGGCCATGGCGGAGAGTTTGGGATCGGATTGATTGATTGCTTCTGTGGACAGGTGTCTTTTATATAGGTAACAAGGTGAGATTAGGAGCACTCCCTTTAAGAGTGTGCTCCTAATCTCAGCTCGTTACCTGTAATAAAGACACCTGGGAGCCAGAAATCTTTCTGATTGAGAGGGGGTCAAATACTTATTTCCCTCATTAAAATGAAAATCAATTTATAACATTTTTGACATGCGTTTTTCTGGATTTTTTTGTTGTTATTCTGTCTCTCACTGTTCAAATAAACCTACCATTAAAATTATAGACTGATCATTTCTTTGTCAGTGGGCAAACGTACAAAATCAGCAGGGGATCAAATACCTTTTTTCCCTCACTGTATATGTATTTGTGAGTCTGTGTGTCTCAGTGTGAGTCTGTGTGTCTCAGTGTGTCTGTGTGTCTCAGTGCGAGTGTATTGGTCTCAGCATGAGTATATGGGTAGCAGTGTGGGTCAATGGGTCTCAGTGTGAGTTTATAGGTCTCAGTGTGAGTCTATAGGTCTCAGTATGAGTCTATGGATAGCAGTGTGAATCTATGGGTCTCAGTGCGAGTCTAAGGGTCTCAGTGTGAGTCTGTGGGTCTGGCTGATGTGGAGGAGGATGCTTCACATGCTGGGTGGGTGCTCTTTTCCATGCTGGACTCCACCAAGAGATCTTAACAATCTGAACACCGCTGTCTCCACTGCTCGAATGAAATCTGCTCTCGCAAAACACAGATTTTTCAGAGGCCACCGAATGGCCCGTGACAATTTGCCCGTATCTTAGCATTTGCTTGTCTCGTCTTCATGTGAACCGCGTTATATACACACACACACGGCGCTGGCGAGACAATAGTTGAAGGTCTGCTCAGAACACGACGTGCGCGATTCTGGCAAATCACCGCCTTCTGTTCCGAGCCGGCCTTCAGTAGGCGCTCGCTAAAAGCACTTTCGGCAGCAGTCAAAAATGTTCAATGTGGTGGTGGTGGCGGTGGTGGTGGTGTTGGGGGGTGGTGTCGTTTGTAATTTGTTTTTGTTCGCCGGTGCAGACGTCGACGAGTGCTCACCGAACCCGTGCCAGAACGGAGGCCGCTGCATCGACGGCGCGGCCTCTTACACCTGCGACTGCGCGCAGGGGTTTACGGGCACGCGCTGCGAGACTGGTGAGCACACACTCACCTCGCATCGTTCCCCCAGCCCCTCATCCTCATCCCCCCTCCTCTTGCTCCCTTCTCCTCCCTTCCTCCTCCTCCTCCACATCCTCCCTCCACTTGCTCATCCCCTTCGTTCGTTTTCCCAAACTCCGTCGTGTCCAGTGTTGAGCGGTGTTGGTGGGAATTCTTAAGACGAAACTAAACTTTTTTTTTTTAAATTTTAACCAAATAAGGCCGACTGAGCCACACAGTTATTTTTGCAGAAGCGATCCGGCTCTCGTAAATCATAGCTCAACGAAGTGGCTCATCGCGTGGGTGGTAATTTACAGCAGCCAAATACAGTAAACGCGTGATGTTGATTCTATATGTGGAGGGAAAAACTGTAGGACCTGGATAAAAATCCGCGCGATCACGGGGAGAGAGACACGCACACTCCAAATGTACAGGCGTCAGGGTAGGGATCGAAACCACCAATTCCTGGATGAATTCCATGTGTGCTAACCCACTTACACCACGACCAGAAACAGCATCCCTATGGCACTTGATAAGGGTGTGTCCATGTCATCCATGCAATTCTGCCGATCGCCTAATAAGCATGATGCTTGTAACTACCAGCGAAAGCTCGTACCAAAGTATGAAATGTCGCGTGGATTGCTCTCAAAAGCAATGAAAATTGTCCACACGATGCCCTTCATATATTTGGCTTCGTTGGGTGGAGGTGGGTATACCACGCAGATTGCCATTTTAATCACGTGACAAACCCATCCGTAAATCTATGATGAATCCTAGTATCATCCATTTTGATAGCAAAGTTAACCAAGGGTGGTGTCCTCTCTCTCTCTCTACTCCTGTTTACATGCTTCTCGACGTCGTGTCAGTCATGAAGTATAGTCAAGTAACTACTTTGTATGTCAAGAAAGCACATCATGTACTCACTTACAGCACGTGAACCCAACATAATAACCAGTCTAACAAAGGTGACTTATGTGTGTGTGTGTTCTGATGTGTGCGTAGCAGTTAGCGCACTGCGCTACAAACGTGGTGACCTGAGTTTAATTCCCGCTCACGGCCTACACCAATGTCGATTATCTGAACCGGTCCCCGTGCCCTCCCCTAGGTCGACTCAGCCTCAAATGAGTACCTGGTGTGGTGTTTAAATGCATCGCCACTGGGAAGACAAAGGCGATTGGAAGTGGTCCTGGCCACCCACCCCCTCGTGTACCGTGCCAGCCTTCATAGGTGCTCGCTAACAGCACTTGCCCTAACAGTCTGTGAATGCTTAACGGGGGATCTTTGTCTTTTGTGCTGAGGTGTGGCACAAGTGTTAAACACACTGCGTAAAATTCTAACAACCGAAAGTTAAATTCCTAGGCAAGGATTCCGTTTGGCCTAGTTGACCCAGACGAGGCTCTTTCTGGACCGTCCCTAGGTCAACGCAGCCCGAACTCAACCTCTGGTGCAGAGTGCGAACATTCATGTGTCAATATCATTATCGGAACACAAAGGGGGGGGGGGGGGGGTGATGTTGAGCATGTGGTGTTACGCAACCCCACCCATTGTGTCGCACGCCACCCTTAATATGTGCTCGCTAGCATCACGTGATCCTACGTCATACGACGGGGCCTTAACGGGGATCTCCGCCACGTGTCCGTGCGCGTGCTTATTCCCGCGGATGCAGATATTGACGAATGCACTTCGGATCCGTGCCAGAACGGAGGCCAGTGTGTGAACGGGGCGGGCTCGTTCACGTGCAGCTGCCTGGCAGGGTACACGGGGACACTCTGCGACTCAGGTGAACCACAGCGAGCCTTCGTTATTAACACTGGGGTCCCGACAGTGCCGGATCCTAGTAGCACAAGTAGCTACACGTGTAGTAGAAGCTACGCGCCCCGCACTTTCAAGGGCCCCGCGCTAAATGCTTTCAAGCTGTCAGTTCCGGTTCAGTGATTCTGCACTTGCTCTATTACTCTAGTACTATACCGCCTTGAACTTTTATGAATGCCTGAGTGTTTTAGGCTAGCGATTTGTTGTATCTGGCTGTATAACATATCAAAAAATAAAATAACTTTACTATGCAATTTAACATTTACGTGTTTTAATATTTACATGTTTTTTTTATGTACGGGCCGACCATAAATGACGTCACACACCTCGGGGGGGGGGGGGTTAGACATTTGTGACGATGTGTGACGAGGGGGGGGTTTGATAAATATGACGTCACATAAAAATGCGCAACTTTAAATAAATATAGACAACACGTTCTACTTAATTAAATGTACTATTTAATAAATGTTTTCTCCTACAACATCAGAGTGCAGCGCCACATTAAATACGCACTTCAATGACAATAGTTTAAAGCGATTTGAAGCATGTTTTATTTTCAAAATAGAATTATGTTTTGTTTTTTTTGGGGGGGGGGTGGGGGCAGAGCTTTGTGACGTCATATTTGAGGGAGGGGTCTGACTTTTTGTGACGCCGTGTGACGAGGAGGGGGGGTCAAAAAAATCGTCCAAAATAGCGTGACGTCATTTATGGACGTCCTCTAACTACCAGCGAAAGCTCGTACCAAAGTATGAAATGTCGCATGAATTGGTCTCAAAAGCAATGAAAATTGTCCACACGATGCCCTTCATATATTTGGCTTCGTTGGGTGGAGGTGGTTATACCACGCAGATTGCCATTTTAATCACGTGACAAACCCATCCAAAAATCTATGATGAATCCTAGTATCATCCATTTTGATAGCAAAGTTAACCAGGGGTGGTGTCCTCTCTCTCTACTGCCGTTTACATACTTCTCGACGTCGTGTCAGTCATGAAGTATAGTCAAGTAACCACTTTGTATGCTAAGAAAGCACATCATGTGATCACTTACAGCACGTGAACCCAACATAATAAATACATTCTTGCAGAGGGAGCTGATAGGAACGTTGGGTTGCTCGGTCAATGGCCAGGGTCAACGGCACCACGTGGTGTATTCCGCGAATATGCCCGACTGTGAGGGCGGGCACAAGCCGGCGTGAGTAGGTTAAACGATCAGTTTTATAAGGGCACCACGGGGTGACCAGCCCCTCCCCACCCAGCCCCACCCCTCCCACCCCCCACCCAGCCCCACCCAGCCCCTCCTCACCCAGCCCCTCCCCACCCAGCCCCTCCCCACCCTCCCCACCCAGCCCCTCCCCACCTACCCCTCCCCACCCAGCCCCACCCTCCCCACCCAGCCCCTCCTCACCCTCCCCTCCCCACCCAGCCCCTCCCCACCCAGCCCCTCCCCACCCTCCCCTCTCCACCCAGCCCCACCCCTCCCATTTTTGGATGCACGGCGGACGGACACAATAATCATCTGTGGGCTGGTGGTGTAACCAGGAGGTTCCTACCAGTACCAGTCTAACAAGGGTGACGTGTGTGTGTTCTGATGTGTGCGTAGCAGTTAGCGCACTGCGCTACAAACGTGGTGACCTGAGTTTGATTCCCGCTCAAGGCCTACACCAATGTCGATTATCTGAACCGGTCCCCTGGCACCTCCCCTAGGTCGACTCAGCCTCAAATGAGTACCTGGTGCGGTGTTTAAATGCATCGCCACTAGGAAGACAAAAGCGGTTGGGTGTGGTCCTGGCCACCAACCCCATCGTGTACCGTGCCAGCCTTCATAGGTGCTCGCTAACAGCACTTGCCCTAACAGTCTGTGAATGCTTAACGGGGGATCTTTGTCTTTTGTGCTGAGGTGTGGCACAAGTGTTAAACACACTGCGTAAAATTCTAACAACCGAAAGTTAAATTCCTAGGCAAGGATTCCGTTTGGCCTAGTTGACCCAGACGAGGCTCTTTCTGGATCGTCCCTAGGTCAACGGAGCCAGAACTCAACCTCTGGTGCAGAGTGCGAACATTCATGTGTCAATATCATTATCGGAACACAAAGGGGGGGGAGGTGATGTTGGGCATGTGGTGTTACGCAACCCCAACAACAACCGCCATTCGCCACCAAGTGGCTGTGACGTCACCACGACGCTTGTGCCAGGCCATGTGCACCTTGAGGCCACGTGAAGTGTCGAACGCCCGCGGGCAGGAGGTTACGGAGCAGACCCAAGTGCCACGGGTCGACTGACTAAGATGACTGAGATGACTGGCTGATGCACCACCTGTGCCCCCCACTGTACCAACCTGCTGTGCTTTAGCCACCCGGCGCTCCGCTCGTTGTTGTGAGCGTCGCTCCTCCGCCCTCCGTTGTTTTTGGAGGGCGACTACCTCCACCTGCCCAGTAGCGTCCTTCACGAGCCTCCTCCACAGAGGCCGATCTTGACACCGCTGGTACCAGTCATCGGCAAGTCCACTCAGCTCCACGTCCTCCTGTACCACATCACTCCATCTCTTCTCTAGCCCGTGCCGCGCCCGTTTAGCCCCCTCGATCCGGCCGAACAAAAGCTGTTTCGGCATGCGGTGGCTGGGCATGCGGGCTACATGACCCAGCCAATGGAGCCTTGCCTGCCGGAGGAGCTCACCAATGGGACCTTGCCCAGATCTTTCAAGGATTTGTGAGCTCCTCACACAATCCAGCCTGGTTAAACCCAGGATGGTTCGTAGGCAGGCCAGCCTAAATGTTTCTCACCGGCGACGATGTTCCAACCCCACCCATTGTGTCGCACGCCACCCTTAATAGGTGCTCGCTAGCATCACGTGATCCTACGTCATACGACGGGGCCTTAACGGGGATCTCCGCCACGTGTCCGTGCGCGTGCTTATTCCCGCGGATGCAGATATTGACGAATGCACTTCGGATCCGTGCCAGAACGGAGGCCAGTGTGTGAACGGGGCGGGCTCGTTCACGTGCAGCTGCCTGGCAGGATACACGGGGACACTCTGCGACTCAGGTGAACCACAGCGAGCCTTCGTTATTAACACTGGGGTCCCGACAGTGCCGGATCCTAGTAGCACAAGTAGCTACACATGTAGTAGCATGCTACACATGTAGTAGTAGCTACGTGTCCCGCACTTTCAAGGGCCCCGCGCTAAATACTTTCAAGCTATCAATTCCGGTTCAGTGATTCTGCACTTGCTCTATTACTATAGTACTACACCGCCTTCAACTTTTATGAACGACTGGGTGTTTTAGGTTAGCGATTTGGCTGTATAGTAAATAAAAAAAATAACTTTACTATACAAGTAAAAAATATACGTGTATTATTTATTTATGGGCCCTTTATAACATATGCTACAGGCCCCGCACTAGCTTAATACGGCACTGGGTCCCGATAAAAAAAGAGTCGGTCCCAGCATAAGGTGAACTGCAGCTGTATATTGTCAACGTCGCTTGTAGACATTGTGTACGGCCATTATGTCAACCCCACCGCTAGATGAAGGTCCACGCCAGTCGTGGTGGGGGGTGGGGTTGTTTGACCATACTTCACCACGCTGGTCACTGAAACGGTGTGGACAGGTGGTGAGAGTCTGCAATATGTTCCAATATCACTCACTACTTACGTTATCCCTGGATGGTAATTGAATTAGGAACTCCGGGTTTTTAGTACAAAGGTTTTTTTTATACCCTCTGTGGCAACGCTCCCCCTCTCCCCTGTTTGCTGGCTGTCATGTTTCATCTGACACTTTGTAAGTGGAACAAATAAATAAGCTCAATCGTTACCCCTGCCAGGGCGGCGAGCCTAGATGCACCCTCAGTTCGCTATGAGGGTGCATTACGCCTGGCCTGTTATATGCTTACAATAAAACACAAATAAATAAGCGGACGATATCATCTCCATTACATGTCCATCTCTCTACGTAAAACAAAAATGTATTTCTTATACGACCCATAAGCCGCACGGCATTCTGGGAGTGCATACCCTTCGCAGCATTGATTCAAGACGAACACAACTCTGGACCAGTTTTGACATGCAGTGTCTCATCAGCACAGTCTGTATGTGTAGATGAATTGATAGCAACGACCTGTCCAGACATACAACCCTTTTTGCCACGGCTGGACGTGGTACCTGTGTGTTTTATTATTGAGCGTGCGTGCAGACATCGATGTGTACGCGTCAAATCCCTGGCAAATTGGAGGCCGGTGCGTGGATTTGCTGGGAGCGATATCAAGCGAGCACCCGCCTGGGTTCAGCAATTATATATTACTCTGAATTATGAAATATAGAAATAATTATCAAATACAGTCGTGCAACAGGCATATTTAACACAATACTCAACACGTTTGTCAATGACATTGTGGTCTGAAAAGTAAAACTATATATAATAGTTGACATTTTGGGCAAGGGCCCTTCTTCATAGCAGATGAATAGAGAGGCCAGAGAGACAATACGAGTTGTACACTGCACTTCGCAACATGGGGCCTTCAAGATTATTGAATGGAAATTGTCTTCTGATGGCCAGTTCCTAAATTGGCCTATGAAAAGTTACGTTATCAATAGCTGTTGTGTAACAGATAAAATCTTCATCAATCAAAAGCATGACTAAATCAACTCATTCATATTCCATTAAAAAAAATTGCATGCACATTGCATAGTGGGAAGACTTGTTCTTGTGAGCACAAGGCACAATCCACTTAGCAATGCATTCCTGGGCCCAATCACCATCTGAATTAAACCGAACAACTCAGCACATTCGTCAATTCCAATAAAAGGATTGTGACTGCCCTACACTCCTGCGATGGAGAAATCTGAAAATGAAAATGTGAGGCACACAAATATGATCATCCGAGAGAGTCCATCTCGGATGATCACATCCGAGAGTCCATCTCGGATGATCACTGGCTTTTTTTATTATCAAATAATATTAATGTTTTGCCTGGCAATATATATTATCACATTGTTCATGTAGAAATTCAATTATTGTATTTCTGGCTCATTTAGGTTTCCCGTTTGTAGATCACTTGTGAGTGTATAGATTCATACCACCATACATTCTTTACGCAACCACAATGGGAAACAGAATTGACTCGTGAACCGATTCATGAACACGCTGCATCCCCACTATAGCGGGGTCAATGGTGACGAAAATATTCATCGACGAAGCGTTATTTTTATTTTACTCAACGACGACTGTGGGTGAATGGAAATCACACGAAGCGTGATTGATGACTCTTGACTGCTCGTCAGAGACCAAAGCACCGCTGACGATGGCGAGACAGACTCAACTCTTCTGGCAGAAGCCGCAGACGAAGATCATTGAGTAACGCTATTCGAGACTGCAATGCATCGAGGAAGATCGAGCTTGGTAATCGGTCATCTCAAGCCAGTTACCCCCCGGGACGCCTGGGTCAGCCAGCGGCGAGCCTTTCGACACTTTGCCGTGACGGGCCTCGGGAGTGCACGTTAGGTCTGGCGCAAGTGCCTGCGGTGACTTCGTGGCGTGCGTGCGTGTGCGCGTGTGCGTGCGTGCGTGCGTGTGTGCGTGCGTGCGTGCGTGTGTGCGTGCGTGTGCGTGCGTGCGCGTGTGTGTGTGCGTGTGTGCGTGTGCGTGCGTGCGGCCGCTGCTGTCCGTCGACGTCGCAGACGTGAACGAGTGCGCGTCGAGCCCCTGTCTGAACGGAGGGAGGTGCCGCGACGGGGTGGCGGCGTTCACGTGCGAGTGTGCGCCCGGGTTCACGGGGACGCGCTGCGAGACAGGTGAGCCCTTCCCGGCCGTCGTGAGGTTTGTCAGCCGTTAAAAGTAACACAAAGACACAGACAGACAAAGACACAAAGATCACCCGTATTGCCTGTAACAGACTGTAACAGACTGTTGGGGCAAGTGCTCTTAGTAAGCACTTATGCAGGCCGGCACGGTACATGACGGGGTGGGTGGCCAGCAACAAGCCCGACCGCCTTTGTCTCCCCAGTGGCGATGTTTACACACCGCACCAGGTACTAATTTGAGGCTGTGTCGATCTAGGGGAGGCCCAGGACCGGTTCAGATAATCGTCACCGGTGTTGGCCGTGAGCGGCAATCGAACTCGGTTCGCTCGGTTCGTAGCGCAGCGCGCTAACCGCTACACTACCGCTCCCCACTAACACACACACACACTAACACACACACTAACACACACACACTAAAACACACACGCTAACACACACACACTGACACACACTAACACACACACACTGACACACACACAATGGAAGCGTCGCCGAGTCCTGTATTGATATTCTGGGCGGTGGAGGAGGAGGGCTATGGGGGGGGGTTAATAATTTGTGTGGGATGGTGAAGTGGGCGAAGGGAATGAATAGAGGCAATCTGAAGTAAATTCCAAGACGAACCGGCACAATTTTTTATTATTATTATTATTTTACCCGCTAAGGCTCACTGAGCTACGTAGCTCTTTGTCAGCAGTGACCTCACCACAATTGGTAGCTCAACCAAGTGGCGTATCATCACGTGGAAATTGCCAGCAGCCAAATACTCTCAACGCGTGTTTCCGAACGTGGAGGGTTAAAAAAACGGACGACCCGGGGAAAAATAACAACCGATGTCCACGCGCATGAACCACGCATCCTGGGCATTATAACTGCTTTAAAGTCACGAATCGATTGTTGTCAGTTGCGTGCCGGCTTAATGAACTGTTTGTGAGTGCATATTTCTGTAAAACCCGGACAGGCTGCCACCTGTCTGGTTTCGACTCGGACTGCCCAGGAATTGGTCTCTGTGTTTGGGTGGCCTGGAATTCCTTTGTACGGAGATATCTGGTAGCATTGTTTTGAACTTTATTGTGGTAAACTGCAGCTGTGTTACACCCAGACCGAGTTAGAAATGCGGAAATCAATCGGCATCTTCGTTCAGAGACATAGGTCACCCCTCAGCCCCGTATCTCCAGTGAGCTGTCTTTGTTGAAGCAGATGCAGTGTGTGACGATCCAATGATTAAAATTAATCATCCTAACGCTCAAGTTGCGAGCACATGAGAATCACTTAATTTACAATTTAATCAAAGTATATGGCAGCATTACGTTTAGCCTAATTAAATTAACTATTCACAACGAACAACTTCTGCACTTAACGAGACGCCACAAGATGCTGCGTCGAGCGGCGTGGAAAAGAACCTGGCACAAAGTCTGTCGACAGCACAACCGAGACCCGAAAACTGAGAGAATCCACGAAATCGCAGGGGAGGTGAATCTGTGAAGCCAAGCTGCTCTCTGTGTTCAAACATGCGCCTGTGTGCTTGAGCGTTGCAGATATCGCCAAACCCGTGGCACAGAATGGGACGCACCGGCGGCGGCATCTGCCATCGGTCGTCTCAGTCAGTTAACCCCCGCAACGCCCGGGTCAGCCAGCGGCGAGACTTTCGACACTTTGCCGTGACGGGCCTCGGGAGCGCACGTTGGGTCTGGCGCAAGTGCCTACGGTGACTTCGTGGCGTGCGTGCGTGCGTGTGTGCGTGTGCGTGCGTGCGTGTGCGTGCGTGCGTGTGTGCGCGTGCGTGCGTGTGTGTGCGTGCGTGTGCGTGTGTGTGCGTGTGCGTGCGTGTGTGCGTGCGTGTGTGTGCGTGCGTGTGTGTGTGCGTGCGTGTGTGCGTGCGTGCGTGCATGCGCGTGCGTGCGTGCGTGCGGCCGCTGCTGTCTGTCGCAGACGTGAACGAGTGCGCGTCGAGCCCCTGTCTGAACGGAGGGAGGTGCCGCGACGGGGTGGCGGCGTTCACGTGCGAGTGTGCGCCCGGGTTCACGGGGACGCGCTGCGAGACAGGTGAGCCCTTTCACGGCCCTCTTGAGAATTGTCAGCCGTTGAACACTCCCCCGTTGTCATCGAAGCGTACGTGTTGACGTTTTGATTTTTGTCAAGATTTTGCAAGGGCCTTTCAACATTCTGTGTTTCTGAATGGAAAAAAAATCATTTAGTAAATTTCCCCATCTGACTACTTGATTTTATTGACTTTCGGATGGTGGAGGGTTATAATTATAATTAGTAAAATTGACATTATTCCTACTCGATCTAAACTATTCGTTTTATATATAATGAATCTGCAAACTGAAACCACACCTTATTCTGTAAGTTTTGTAAACAAATTGGTTATTGTTTGTATTTCCTTCCCTATTAAAATAGACGATGGTGTCTTCCCATAAAATGGACGAAGAAGAACCAGTAAATTACGGTCGTAAAATATTGTTTTGGTTATGATGTATGGTAATTTTTTTTAATTAAAACGTCTTCGCGAGAACCGCCGGCCAGGGATTGTGTGACACACGCACGTTTTTTTTTGTTTTAAACCCATGCACAAAAATGGGCAAAGACAAACATCCCCCCTCATAACCTTGACAGACTTTCAGGGCTGTTAGCGAGCAACCTATGAAGGCCGCCACATGCAGACGAAGGGGTGGGTTGGCCACACGCCACGCCCGGTCACCTTCATCTCCCAGGCGGCGATGTTTACACACCGCACCAGGTACTAATTGCAGGCTGAATCGACCTAGGGGATGCCCAGGACCAGTTCAAATAATGGTCACAGGTATCGGTTGTGAGCGGGAATCGAACTGGGGTCGCTGGATCCGTCGTGCAGCGTGCTAATCGCTACACCACCGCGCCCCACACAAAGAAGGACACAAAGATAAAGATCCCCCGTATAGCCTGAACAGACTGTTGGGGCAAGTGCTGTTAGCGAGCACCTATGAAGGCCAGCACGGTACACGAGGGGGTGGGTGGCCAACACCACGCCCGGCCGCCTTTGTTTCCCTAGCGGCGATGTTTACACATCGCACCAGGTACTCATTTGAGGCTGAGTCGACCTAGGGGAGGGCCCAGGACCGGTTCAGATAATCGTCACTGGTGTTTGCCGTGAGCGGGAATCGAACTGGGGTCGCTGGGTCCGTCGTGCAGCGTGCTAATCGCTACACCACCGCTCCCCACACGAAGAAGGACACGCACGCGCGTGTACACACACACACACAGCGGTCACTCACACTCGGGCTTGCGTAAATTCCACGTGTGATCGAGCGATCGATCGACTCACTGGATTTCCAGCAAACAAAGGAGGGGGGGGGGGGGGGGGGGGTGGTCCTGCGTGTTCAGGCTTGTGTTTGTCATATCTCGCAAAGGTGTGCCTGGATTCAGATGCCTCATCGACCGTGGCGGAGTGCGAGGGGCGCGATGCTTCCGGACCGCGCATTGTGCTCGTTTCATTAAGCGGGCGTGCATTAGTCACCTGCGACAATGGACAGTTTGATCCAAATTGATTTCAACGAGGCAGCCATATTTTATTCTATTGGGTTTCATTGTAAAAGAATGGCCTTATTTCGCGTCTGCGCTGAAAGGCACCGGAGCTTTCTTCAAACGAGCTTCGATAATGAATGAGGCTTTGCTCAAGGAGGGCGGTCGCGGTGAATGTAACAACGTTTAACTTAACATTTATAAATATGCACGTACACACGACTGACATATAACATATTTGTATAAGCAGTCAATAATATTAATCATGGTTAGCGCTCTGTTAGCTCGCTGAAGGTGCCTCGTACCATATCGGCCACGGGGATTCTTTTGGCCATACTTCACCGCGCTGAGCAAGTTGGAAGGGGGTGCCCTCGGACCAGTTCAGATATCACCCACTACTAATATTAGCCATGGGCCAGGGATCGAACTCAGACTGCTGGAGTCACAGTGCAGCAAGATAACCACTTTGCCACTTCTCCAATTTATATAATTGCAAATGTATAAAATCTGTACAGCTTATTTAGAAAATATACTTATACAATACAGCACTGTTTTTTTATGTTATCGATATTCACTGGTACTGTCGTATCAGTATGCTGGGTGCATGCGTGTACACGGAAATCTGTGAAACGCGACTGAAAATCTGTGAAAAATACCTGTACGGCTCATCGGATTCCTCCAGTAAAAATAGATTTTCTGATTCTGATAATATTGGTGTGGAGAGGAGGCTCCTGAAGGATGCTGGACTGTAGGAGGCAGTTGCCCTCCAGTAGCAATGGACTGCACTGTAGAGCATCGACTCTCACATCAGCGAGCAGAGTGCCGGGCGGCTAAAAAGCAGCAAGTTGGCACAGTGGGGAGCGCAGATGGTGCATCTGCCAGTCATCTCAGCCAATGAAACCCATTACACCCTGGATCTGTCCCGTGACTTCCTGCCTGCAACAAGCCTCACACATTTCACATGACAGCCTCAAAGCACATCGAGAACTGGCATAAGCACTGTGGTGATGTCACCGCCACTTAGTGGTGAATGGCAGCTCTTATTGTAAAGATTATCCAATTCCACGTTTTGCTAATAGCCTATTGTGCTGAAATAGGATTATTATTTTGAGTTGGTTTTTTTTTCCGATAACTCTTTCCTTGGACTTCATTTTCTCAAAGGAGGTTGTTTTCCATCAATTACACAAACATTGTCATGGTAATAGCATGTGTACCCTTGGCAGGAAATGGAGAGTTATGATTGTGCACACAAAGCATATCCTTCCCTTTCTGAAGAGGACAAACATACTATATTGCATTTCAATTGTCTGCACTTGAAAATTCGAGGTGGAATTCGAAAAATACTGTATATTCTGAATGCCCAACAATAACAACCACAATTCACTACTAAGTGGCAGTGAAGTTACCACAGGGCTTGTGCACTTTTGAGGCCATGTAAAATGTTGAATTCATGCTTATTCCAAGTCACGAGACAGACCTCCGTTCTATTGGCTAAGTGACTGAGATATATAGCAGATAAACTACCTCTGCTTCCCACTGTGCCATCTTAATGTGCTTTAGCTGCCCGCTGTTATGCTTCTTGTTGTGAGCATCGTTCCTCAACCCTTTATTGTTGCTGGAGGGTGGTTGCCTTCAATTGCCCTGGTTGTGTCCTTCGTGATCTTGACACTACTAGTCATCTGCACGTCCAATCAGCTCCATATTATTCTGTACCGCATCAGCCCATCTCTTCTCTAGCTCGTGCCGTGCCCGTTTAGCCCCCTCTATCTGGCCAAATGGAAGATGCTTGGGAATGCGGTGGCTGGGCACGTGTGCTACTCACCCAGCCCATTCATCATACTTACAGACATGCATATGCACAAAATCAAAGCATGCCATTTTTCTGGCACAAATCCATAAGCGTATTATCAATACACCTGCAATTATCTAGTTATATATATAATTACTTACACATCGTGAGCGTACTGTCAGAGCAAGAAAAGGAATTGACATTCATACATGGTTTAGATTTATTTTATTTGTAAGCCAACTCAACATGCCCTATACCATTCTATATATACGTGGCAAATACGAACTAGTGTTAGCTCCCCAATGTAACTCGCTGACCCACCCCAACTGGACATCAGTGCAAAAGAGCTTCATAGCTCATCGGATTCCTCCATTCTAATTAAAAGATTCTGTAAACATTCTGTTTATGGGTCGCACTGTGCCTATTTCGACACGATGTCCAACGTTTCGCTCCACGTGCCTGGGAGCTTCTGCAGCGACGGAAATTCTATCCGTTTCTCAAAGGAGCTTCCGCCCAGCACGTGGCAGCTAAGGCATCGGACACCGTGTCGAACAACACGTGCTACGACCCATAAACGCGGTCGGGGAGCTGCGGAGCACAATCGCGAAAACCATCGCGGAGTGGTGTTCAGTTAGTTCCTGGCCCAAAACAATGTTTTGCTGAGAATTCAAGAGTCCAATTTTTGATCGAGCGAACCTGCTGCTAAAGTGCGAGTTGGTGAAAGGGGGGCGGGCTAAAAGGGGGGGGGGGGTCGGGGGAAGGTGGGGGAGGGCTAGGACCAATCCAGATATCACAAGGCAACGTATGTCTTTTCCCTCTGCATATTCTCACGTGGCTTTCACTTTTTCCCCATTCATACGATCCATTCATCATCATCATCATTTCCCATCATCAATTTCTCTTTCACCGATTTCACGCATCATCACGGATTTGCCCCCCCATTGCTTCCTCTCATCTATTTCATTCACCCCACCTCCACCGTTAACTTTGTATGTACGATTGTTGATTCTGTGTAGAGCGCCTTGCATAACGCGCTATATAAATTATTTTAAGATAAGACAGTATGTATGCTGAACCTCTTTCGCACCGTACGTATCCAACCGTGCTAATTGGAGGTGCAGGGGAAGGACAACAGCTATGACTGGGACTCAAACTCAGGTTTGCTTTTTAGTCATGGCATTACACACACACATTATGTGTCTATCATATGGCTATTTCTTCCCCCAATGTGTTCTTTCCTGCTACTCTGCACAGCATCTTGAGATGCAGGTTGCATTTATATGCTGTTCATATAAAAAATTAATTGAAATTTCCTTGTATATGTGGCAAATTGGGTTTGGATTGTTTGTAATGTTACCGTATAATTTACCCCGAAGATGAGGTCAAATTGTAAAACTTGTATTGCCCCAACGAAACACGGTCATTCATTCTATTGCTCAGTCCCTTACTACATGGGAATGCGGAATGGCCACCACTCAATTTCTCATTTAAGTAGGAAAACAATTTTAACTTCATTTAGCAGATTGGAATCAGATGTACGAGACTAGATTGGTGATGTGAAGTAATATTGATGGTGCTCTCATTTACCCAGGAGAGCCTCATTGAGTCTTAAAACTCTTTAACGTGAAGGTTCCGCTGAGTTGAGATGCGTTTGGACAATCGCATTGATGGTCATTTGGCTTCATGTGGAAGAAAACGCACCACGCACACGAGCGGGAGTAATAATTAATTAATAATTAAGGCTCTACGTGGATAGTTTTTCAAGAATCCATTGCTGTACCGCAATCTCCTGGCCATTTCACGGCCCAAGCGAGCGATACCTGGTATTCCCAGGCAGTCTCCCGAGCAAGTCCTTAACCAGGCTGGATCCTGCTCAGCTTCCACATTCTAATGAGATTGGACGCACTCCGGCTGATTGGGTCATAGGTGAAAGTGGGCCTCCAGTGTGGCCGAATGTTGTCCGAAGCCTCGGAGATTACGGCCCCTGCACTGACCGTGCTTGTGCTCACTGTTGACACTGCTTCTGTTGCTGCGACTGCTGCTGCTGCTACTGCTGCCGCTGCTTCTGCTATTGCTGGTGCTGCCACTGCTGCCGCTTCTACTCCTGCCGCTACTGCTGCCACTGCTTCTGCTGCTGCTGCCACTGGCACTGCTGTTGTTTTTACTACTTCTGCCACCGCTGCCGCTGCTACCGCTGCTTCTGCTGCTGCTACCGCTGCCGCTGCTGCTGCTACCGCTGCTTCTGCTGCTGCTACCGCTGCCTCTGCCGCTGCTACCGCTGCTTCTGCTGCTGCTACCACTGCCTCTGCTGCTACCGCTGCTTCTGCTGCCGCTGCCGCCGCGTCCACAGCGGCGCCGCGGGACCCTTGCCAGCCCAATCCGTGCGCGAACGGCCGCTGCGAGGGCCAACAAGGCGAAACCTTCCGGTGCGTCTGCCTGCCCGGCTTCACGGGCCGGCTGTGCGACAGTCCCGTCGCCCCCCCAACCGCGCCGCCCCCACCGCCGACGCCGCCGCCACCCACGCCCCCGCCACGCAGAGGTGAGCGAGCGAGGGAGCGCGTGCGGCGCTGTCGTCTCTGGCCACTGCTCGTACGGTGCGAAAGAAGTGCAACGTACATGCGTGCAACGTGGCGATCGTTGCCGTGCGGAGTGGACCTGTGGAGTGGAATTATATCCGCAAAAGTCCGAGTCATCTGGGTTTGGTTTGGTCGTTCTGTTTTTTATTTTATTTTTTGGCCGCTGCCTCTGTCCGGTCAACGACAGCCTGCGGAGTTTTAATGAAATATTAATCTGTGGATTCCGTGGCGTCGTTCGCATAGTGCAGTCAACCAGACCAGTGAAACATTTGGTCAAATGTTTAGTTTAGTGAATGTTGGTGTCAGGGATGTGCAATCCGTCTCCCCCCCCAAAAAAAATCTACACGACGAAGGGGAGAGAAACATACAGGTGTCAGGGTTGGGATCAAACCCACGACCTCCTGTATACCAGGCGAGGCAGATAACATCTCGCCACCGGGGTGCCCAACAACGAAGGAAAAACTCCGCTGTGTTGTTGATGGATATATTCACTGCTAGTTGCGTGAACAAAGTCTAATACTGCTCCAACGCTAGAGCTGCGTTTACACCGGGAATCTTCCTCCGAACAAAGGGGTGGTTCGATCGGAGCAGGAGAAAAAAAAGATCAGAGCTCGAAACGCCGATGTCAAACTCGTGTCGGACTGCACACGCCAAGTTTGTTGGGGCCACTGAGGCAGTGGCGCAGAAGCTCCGCGGTGGAACTGATTCGCGTAAACAGAGAACGGCGTTGTGAACGCACGTTCGAAGCAGAATCTGTTGCCGTTCACAATTGACGTCTGTATACCCACGCGTTAACCGTAAGGAACCCGATGGGGATCGAGGCGAGGGTGGCCACTTGGCCAAGAAATCAGCGAAGCTTTGCTTCGGGAAACAAGCTTGAGCCTGTGACGACCTACAAGTTGCGCTTACTTCCTTTATGTATGAGAAAGTGGACACAGCTCTCATTTCGGTTATGCTAAACAGAACACCTCACTTTTTTGCTCAGCGTTCTCGTGTAAACGCAGCTCAGTTGTCCAGCAACAGCAACAAATAGAGGAGAGGGCATCTCTGAAGTGAACAACTATCCGAAATATTATTTGGTTCTTTCGGTAAAGTCACGTAGATAGAAAATATTATTATTACAATAAAGTGAATAAAAAACACACGACGTTTCGATCACAACACAAGCGATCGTCTTCAGGAGGAAAGAGGGGGAAGTCAAGGAAGGCAACCGTTTTTAAAGGTTTCAAAAATTGGCGTGGCACAAGCGCTTCGGTGGTTAGAACGAAGTGGGCGGGGCTTATGTAATTTTCTACATGAATTTACCGAAAGAACTAAAGAAAACAAATTCCTGCAGTCGCGAAAGTTTCAAGTCAAAATTTAACTGTCTGAAATATACGAGCTCTGAAAGTCTACCGAGGCCAACATCACCCTGCACAGTTGACAGACCTCACGAATCGCATGCTAATTAGGGAGGATGTGACGACGGTGGATGAGTGTCGTATTGTCCCAGTCTTCTAGTTTTAAAATCATAATGTCCGCTGCTTCATGCACACAAAATGCAATATTACTTTACAGTCTTAACGAGTAAAGTTTCCGGTTGGTATAACCTGCGTGCATCGACACTGCAGTGAATGGACAGTTATCGCGAAGCAAGTCATGTGCTCAGAAATAGTGCCCAGGCACTCCTTAAAAATGATCTATCAACGGCTCGACGGAGCCGTGCCACGTAAGCACTTGAAATTGCTGTCGTATTGATAGTAGTAATAATGACCATCGATAATAACGTTCTTTTTGTTACACAGCAAAGCCTTGCAGAGACTTAAAAGTCTTGTTTTTAGGAGCGAGGGTCCTGCCAATGTTTAACCAAATCCACTCTTTGAGTGTTTGGCACGGTGGTGGGGTGGGGGGGGTGCAAAACTAGAGAAGATGCACACAAATATGGGGGGTTAACACTCAAAAGCTCCACACAGATAGATTCAACAATCTGTTGCTGCGCTGTCATCCGCTGGCCACCTCGCAGCAACTGTTGTCTGTGATCTCCCATTCGTGGGTGAGTGAGTGAGTGCTCACCGGGTACAGCCCTGCTGAGCTGTAGGGATCTGTCGAGGTCGGGTGCATTGGGGGTTGATTGGTTTGTAGGCCATGCGCGTGGTGTTGCCTCTCTCTTCGCTAGGGATGCCCGTGAATAGCACATGTCGGGGATAATGATATTGGCCTACGAAAACGTAGCTTTTTAATAAATGACCTTCAATAAATAATACGGGAAAATTATCATAACACATACTCAAATTGGTTATAATAAACATAAAGATAAGAATACATGTAAAGTTATTAAATGATAGTTTATTAATTAATTTACCACGAAATTATGATGTTGTGCGGTAGCATCATTACAGTGATGGAAAAAAGTATTTGATCCCCTGCTGATTTTGTACGTTTGCCCACTGACAAAGAAATGATCAGTCTATAATTTTAATGGTAGGTTTATTTGAACAGTGAGAGACAGAATAACAACAACAAAATCCAGAAAAACACATGTCAAAAATGTCATAAATTTATTTGCATTTTAATGAGGGAAATAAGTATTTGACACCCTCTCAATCAGAAAGATTTCTGGCTCCCAGGTGTCTTTTATACAGGTATCGAGCTGAGATTAGGAGCACACTCTTAAAGGGAGTGCTCCTAATCTCAGCTTGTTACCTGTATAAAAGACACCTGTCCACAGAAGCAATCAATCAATCAGATTCCAAACTCTCCACCATGGCCAAGACCAAAGAGCTATCCAAGGATGTCAGAGACAAGATTGTAGACCTACACAAGGCTGGAATGGGCTACAAGACCATTGCCAAGCAGCTTGGTGAGAAGGTGACAACAGTTGGTGCGATTATTCGCAAATGGAAGAAAAACAAAAGAACTGTCAATCTCCCTCAGCCTGGGGCTCCATGCAAGATCTCACCTCGTGGAGTTGCAATGATCATGAGAACGGTGAGGAATCAGCCCAGAACTACACGGGAGGATCTTGTCAATGATCTCAAGGCAGCTGAGACCATAGTCACCAAGAAAATAATTGGTAACACACTATGCCGTGAAGCACTGAAATCCTGCAGCGCCCGCAAGGTCCCCCTACTCAAGAAAGCACATATACATGCCCATCTGAAGTTTGCCAATGAACATCTGAATGATTCAGAGGACAACTGGGTGAAAGTGTTGTGGTCAGATGAGACCAAAATGGAGCTGTTTGGCATCAACTCAACTCGCCGTGTTTGGAGGAGGAGGAATGCTGCCTATGACCCCAAGAACACCATCCCCACCATCAAACATGGAGGTGGAAACATGCTTTGGGAGTGTTTTTCTGCTAAGGGGACAGGACAACTTCACTGCATCAAAGGGACGATGGACGGGGCCATGTATCGTCAAATCTTGGGTGAGAACCTCCTTCCCCCAGCCAGGGCATTGAAAATGGGTCGTGGATGGGTATTCCAGCATGACAATGACCCAAAACACACGGTCAAGGCATCAAAGGAGTGGCTCAAGAAGAAGAACATTGAGGTCATGGAGCAGACCTTAATCCCATAGAAAATCTGTGGAGGGAGCTGAAGGTTCAAGTTGCCAAACGTCAGCCTCGAAACCTTAAGGACTTGGAGAAGATCTGCAAAGAGGAGTGGGACAAAATCCCTCCTGAGATGTGTGCACCCTGGTGGCCAACTACTAGAAACGTCTGACCTCTGTGATTGCCAACAAGGGTTTTGCCACCAAGTACTAAGTCATGTTTTGCAGAGGGGTCAAATACTTATTTCCCTCATTAAAATGCAAATCAATTTATAACATTTTTGACATGCGTTTTTCTGGATTTTTTTGTTGTTCTGTCTCTCACTGTTCAAATAAACCTACCATTAAAATTATAGATTGATCATTTCTTTGTCAGTGGGCAAACGTACAACATCAGCAGGGGATCAAATACTTTTTTCCCTCACTGTACGTTATCTGATCACTTTATCTCCATCATTTTATCTCTCGTCTCTTTATCTCTAGTCAATTTATCTCTCGTCACTTTATCTCTCGTCACTTTATCTCTCGTCTCTTTATCTCTAGTCAATGTATCTCTCGTCACTTTATCTCTCGTCACTTTATCTCTCGTCACTTTATCTCTCGTCACTTTATCTCTCGTCACTTTATCGCTCGTCACTTTATCTCTCGTCACTTTATCTCTCGTCACTTTATCCCTCGTCACTTTATTTCTCTCTTTCTCGATGCAGTCGTATAGAGTTCCAGATGCAATTTGCGTATAGCTTGTTGTGTTTAGTTCGTTGTCCTCCCCCGCACCTCCGATTAGCACGGTTGGCTACGTATGGTGTGAAAGAAGTTCAACATACATACTTTAGCCAAAATCGCGGATAGCAAGTTCGCGAATAACAAGGGAATACCGTACTGATAATATACAAACTCATGAGTACTCGAGTGGAACATTATAGGTGATAAAATAAAATAAGTAAACGTGCTATTTTCTGAAGCTCTGCATTCATTAACCGCATTTTAGTTTCAGCCTGCCAGCTTATTGACCCCCTGTACTCGTATTCGACAGGAGCGTTCGTTACAGCAATACAGCTTTGGGCCGGAAAGCTTCAAAGACAATGTTTAAGAACCATTTTCACTCGAAAGAAATCTTGCTTGAGACATTTGGGAAATTTCCATACAGGGCAGGCATGTGGGAGGAAACCAAGAGCACCTGGAGAAAGCCCATATGGTAGCAACTCACATATCCGTAGCTCAGCAACTGACTTTGCTCTACTGCCTTCTACAGGCCACCTCATAGCTCCGCAGTCAGTGCAATACGGAACAGCAGCGTACGGTGCAGGAAGCTCAGAGAAGCCCTTAAATTAAACGGGAAACTGCGCCCACCCCGGATTTAATCCCATCAGTATGACCGCATTCTCCGCTTTATAAGAAACGCTCGTTTTCCTCCGTATTTTAAAGCAAAAATTCGGGGTTTTAGTCTTATAATCCGATAGGTGCGTCTGTGCGCGTGCACGCGTGGCCAAATTTTAATAACGTTATTGACAAGATTGGCGGTCGTCTTACTTTCCGGAGCATCTTCTAATCCGGAGAATATGGTAAGCGCAGTTGACGCATGGTGATGTTGGCTCGGTCGAACAACAACAACAACAACAGCAGCAACCACAACAAACAACAAAACAGCGGCAACGAGGACGATAAACCCAGCCACAGTCATGACAAGCCCCCATTGGCCCGCATGTGCTGTAACGTTGCACCATGCGGCTCAGGGGATCCTGACGGTCTTCTCGAGGAGACCCGGTCCGATGCGGACCTCGCTCCCGAAGGTGGCGGCATCGCAGACGCCAACGAGTACGTGTTCACAGGTACTTGCCCTCGCGCGACACGGGACAGCTACACGCGGACGTGGAGATGTAGCAAACGTCCTGGTTTGACCGGAACACTCCCCGGTTCCAGAAAGGCTGTCCCGGTGTCACATCGTGGCTTTTTATTTTTGTCACCGGTTTAGAAAATATTGGCTTCATGCCGCGCGATTCGTGACAGGCACAAGAGGCGGCGGGCGCTGCTACCTGAGCAGTTGGCGGGGTTTTGCCAAAGGTTTGCTCAGGGGCCTAATGAGCAGTAGCGTGGGGACGATGTCATAAACGGCGAGAAGGACGAGGCCACTCACTGTGGGAGCAGGGCTCGTGATAGAGCGGCCGTGGCTTTGTAAAAAGTCGGTGAGGCCGCAGAACGGATGGGCTGCCAGCTCAAACCATGTGTCCTGGTTGAGCCTCCCAGAAATTCGGTCGCCTCACAATCGGCCACCTCTGGCGCAGCTCACGATCAGCGATCAGGAGGAGTACTTGCGATGCGATGTGTTACCATCAGGAATGAAAGAGTGCATTTCAATGTGACCGCGTCTCAGGTCACCGCGAGATCAGCGCATCAGGAGTCATTGCTGGATTGAAATGTGCTTTGTCACGTGTTTATATAGTCCTTTCAGATTTTTTGTATTTTTGATCATTTACTAAGGAAAGCTTCACTGAGGCGTTAAGCATTTCTAAAGAGGGACCTGCATAGCATATTTTAGGCAAGTCCATAGGGACATAACAACAATTTGTGGCGCAATAGTATATTTATTTGACAAGTGTGATATTTGCAGGACGGAGATTGCCGCGGCCATTCTGCAACCCATGTTCGCTGCCATTTGCCCTCTGCGAAAACATCATAGCGCGGGAGTAGAAACCGTTCCGAAATGTGCCCGTTTACGCATTTGGTCGCGTGCCGGCACATTCCGACTCTGGTTGCGCGACTCTTCCGATACGCGGAGGGAATCGAGCCAGCGCGGCCCGATGTCGCGCGGGTAAAGCCGTCGTTCGACCGTGGGCCCGCCTGTGCTCGCGCAGACGATGTCTATGACCAGCTGGGCAGCGTCGTCCCCAACTCCGGCGCAGAGGTCGGCGCCGGGGGCGGCTCGCTGGCCCAGGGACCGCTGGCGGCCGTCGTGCTCGGATCGCTGGCCGTCGCCGCCCTCCTGGGCGTCATCCTGGCGTTCCGGCTCGGCGGACGGACCCCACCGGCCGGCGCCGGCGTCCCGCCGGCGGATCCGACCGCCCGGCCGCTACCGCCGGGCTCCGGTCACCCAGGCTACCCGGGCCACCTCGGTCACCCGGAGCCGCACGGGAGGCTCACGGCCGCGTTCCGCCGCTCCTGGCAAAGGGTGCTGCGCCGAAACGGTACGCGGCTGTACGTGCGCACTGAGACCGTCCCAACAGTGCAGCGGAACTCAGCCCGTGGGTTCGTGACCCCCCACCCTGACCTCTGGGAAGGGCAGGTTGCGGCATGGATACACCGTGCCAGGAATTTTTTTTTTAATGCACGCGGGGAACTTCAGCGGCACGTTGCGGCGACAAAGGACATTGGTATACGACGTGGCGCTAAAATTTAATATATATTTTTGGGTATTTTACCGGATAAGGCCCACTGAGCTATATAGCACTTTTTCTGAAGTGACCTGGCCACAAATGATAACTCAATGAAATGTGTAACAGTCAAATACTCCAAGCAGAATTGTTGCTACTCAGGTCTCTATTGCAAAGCAGACGTTTTGTCTCAAAAAGCAAACACTTTATTGCGAAGTTCATGATGATGATGATAACATTTTAAGAGAGTTTAATAAATAATACAATTAATAATCATCTCTCATATGCATGGATTTTTCTTCAGATTTCCTCCTAAACGTCAAACACAAATAATTGCATCTGCCAAACATCCCACTCAAGAACCCTCCTGGAAAGAAGAAGAAAAGAACAGTGTTGACACTCAGTAAACACAAAAAAAACCACGTCATTAGCTTTGGCCAAACATCCCCATGCTGAAAAAATAACCTGCAAGTCGCTTGATTGCAATCGCACACAGCAGCAGCAACAGCATCACGCACTACTGTCACACCACGGCAAGGGCCCCCTGAAAAATCATCTCGGGACTCAGTGAGGCTTTTCTGGGTAAACAATTGTCACGAATAATGAAAGCGAGGCTTTCCTGTACACGTAATGGGTACCATTATTATTGTTGTGCATCTTGGCCTCGAATTAACACGCACATTTTATTATACTAAATAAATTAACAGGTAACATGCTTCCTTCGCATATCTGTCCCGATCACATTATAATCAAAGTGTGTTTCACACGTAGTAAATTATGATTATTTCGCTTTTAAATGCAAGTAATTTCAGAATCAAACAATGTATTTCGTGATACTGCGTTGGCTGTGGTGCACAAGCAACAATGACAAAAATAATTCATAATAACTATAGGCTTAGTGCTGCTTGGAAGCGTATTATTAAATAATACATATTACAATTCCTTATAGGGGAAACACATACTAATTAACGGATTACTAATGTAGCATATCATCACAATAACACACATTACAACTAATTACTAATCTACAACTCATTACTAATCATAACCATTGAAATGAGTTAAATGATGACGTCACCCTCCTGCTCTATTTAAGACCGGGAGCAAGTGAGGGCTTTACCACTCTGGCGAATTGCCCGATGATGCTGATGTTGATTCACTCCTCAACACACCGGTGGGCTAAAGTAGTGAACTAATTGTCTTTTCTCAACGTGACACTTTTTTGCTGATTGGCCGTGTCGGGTGGTGGAGGGTTACGACACATTTATAAATAACGCGATCTAACCCACTAAAACCTTTATTATGAATAATATTGGTCGCAAAAGCCTGCTACGTGTTAAAATGACAAAAATAACTTAACTCATTCCTCAATAGCGCTGTATCCTTAATATCAAAATCTGTGACGTTGTGGGTCGTGGCCCTTCTTAAAAGAAAAAAGAAAGATGTTGGCTTCTTTTTTTATTGCTATAGAGAAGGGGGGACATTGCCCGAAATATTGCCGGTTATATATTCCTTTAAGGCCTCAGCGTTATTGACGAATGCGTTAGGTTGCAAGTAATTCAGAGCATTGCCCCTGCTCAAACCAGTATTGAGGATGCAAATTCCACATTTTTGTGTCCATGGGAATTCCAATAATACGATGACCACGGTTGACCTTTCAGAAACTTGTACATATTTGAATGAACATAGAGGGAGGATGGGCTGAGTTGACCCCTAACTGGAATTTCAACTCTTCTGATTGCGGGTCAAAAGCACTCTAACTGCAGCGCCACTCAGAGAACGTGTGTTATAGTGCCGTGTTCATCCAGAAAAAAAACAAAAAAAGAATTGAGTCGAATTACTTTTTGAAACTGGTGGTTCTGTCTAAGAATGTTTGGCCAGTCCAACTTTAACGAGTGTATTACATTTGGGAGGAAACTGTCGCACTGAATCTGGAGAAAATCGATCCACATCAAGGGATAGCATTTAATGTTGTAAAAAAAAAACGTTAACCGAATGCTCCTTTGAGTGGCGTCTAATGATCAATACATGCTTTTGATCCACAGGCACAACTGTGCATCCAATACGGTTGATTGTCCAGCCGCTAGCACAAGAAAAGCCCATGAACACACAGAACAAGCCAGCTGTGGATGCCATAACGAAGCCAACTTCCACATCAATGGATAAGCCAGCCATGGACAATGTAAACCAACCCACAACATCCACAATGCACAAACCAGACATAAACAATATAAACCAACCCACAGCGCCCACAATGGATAAACTGACCATGAGCAGTCTTAAACAACCCATGGATAAACCACCCATGAAGGCAAACACCGCGATTATGGACAAGACAGCCGTGAACTCGGTAAAAATTCCAACAGTTGCAACGCAGGATAAGCCTACCATTATTGAGTCGTTTAAAAATACAACCCCAGCGATGGATAAATCATCCATAGACTCAGAAATAAACCCAACGACCACAACACTGAGCAAACCAGCCACGGATTCGGTGAAAAAAAAGCGAAGGGCACTTAAGAAGAATAAACCAGTTACGGACACAGTGACAGAGCCGCCAGCAGACAAGCTGGACACTGAGCCGGTGAAGCAGATACAGAGCGCACCAACCGAGCCACTGGCCTTGGACACGCAGGATTCAACAGGCACACAGGAAGCCCCGACGACAGACTCCCAGAACCCAGAGAACCCCGCGGACGAGGAGGGCACGCCATCAAGCGACCCGCGGAAGCCGAAGCGGACACGCAAGAAGAAAAAGGCAAGCGAGCGGTGGTCAAAGCTCGCGAGCCCGGCCGTGGACGGCCACGACCCGCTGCCCCCTCTGACGATGCCACGCCTGCAGAGGGAAGCGACGTTCATGCCCCCGCTCGCACCCACCGTGGCCCACGAGCTGCAGCTCTTCTCGGCCGATTTCCGGCGGCCGCTGGCCCGCCTGCCGACGCCGTACGAGGGCCGGGGCCCGGCGTTCCTGCCACTGGAGACGCTGCTGGAGAGCCGGGAGGAGCTTCTGGTCCCGTCCACGCCGCCCGCCGGCGTTCGAAGGCCGACGACGCCGATGTTGATGTCGGAGGAGAACAGACGGCCGCCGCAGCTGCCGCCGCCGCCGCCACCGCCGCCACCGCCGCGGCCGCCGCCACCACCGCCGCCACCGCCGCCTCCTCCTCCACCTGTAATGTCCCTCCAGCCCCACAGTGGGCCAACCGTGCCGGTCAAACCGGCGGGTGTCGCCCACCGTCAGGGCCACGTTCCTGCTCGTATCTCTCCCGTCCAAAACCCTCGCTGGATGATCTGACTCCGTGCTCCGCAGTCGCGCGAGATCTAGGGCCCGAGACACGTGCTGTCGGGCCCTTCTGCCAGTCATTTTTGGTGACCCTACACAATTTCTTTGCTGAACATTAGCGCCAATGGGGCAGTTGAAAACTGGGATTTTTTTTGGCCGATTCGTGTTACAAGATGCGTTTCTGGAAGTGTCTGGGTAGCTCAAGAGCTGAGCACTGAGCCAGCACTGCTGAGAATAATGAGCCTGATTCTGAGCAGCCCTTCTTAAGTGTAGTTCGTTGATATATAGTCGCAGCCTGGTTACCAACGACTGCACACACACACAAAATCTAATCGTATAAAACGTTACTTTTTTTTACTTCATTTCTTATTCCAGTTCTGAAAAATGAAAGCGCGTGTAGTTTGACGTGCGATGAACACTCTCTGCAGGAGCATACAACAGGTGTGGTATAAGACACCGACTTGTGTGATGTCTTCATCAAGGGCCATTCTTTGACGACAGTGAGATCCATATGAACCCCAAGACATCCGTCAACAACAATGTGGCCTTATAATAAATATATAACAGGTGACGTTTCGGGTAATGACCCTTATTCATAGCACATAGATAGGGTGGCCAGAGAGACAGATGGGATAATAGAGGTGTAGGGGGCACCATAATCGACTGTATTGGTTCGTGAATGGAATCGTGACCCCAAATCGTGATCATTCATGACATCACAGATGGTGGCGGAGGGGGCGAGGGTGGGGGAGGGGTGAATGATCTCACCCCCCCGCCGCCCCCCCCCCACGACAACCCCCTGAGGTTGCCACCTGTCCGGATTTGACCCGGACAGCCTGGGGCTTAGCAATTGATTTTGACAGAGATCTTCTACCGATATTGCATTGAAACCCTATTAACGGTGTACTGGACCGCACAGATCGCGGTCGCAATTCTGTTCAGGCATTGATTCTCTTTGCTGTATAATTGAGCACTGTGAGAATTGTGGCACACCAGCGCTTCGAGTGACAGCGATGGATCAATTGGGGTTGTAAGGTATGCACGTTGAACTTCTTTCGCACCGTACGTAGCCCCAACCGCGCTAATCGGAGGTGCGGGGTTGAATAACGAACAAATGTCAATTGAGAAAGTATCAATAAAGTTTACAGGGTTTTTTTTTTAAACGTGAAATTAAATATTTTAGATCTGGAAGTGGATATGTAAACTGTGAACTGGCACAAACGTGTAAGCAGTCGCACTTTAGTCGTTTGTCTGGACACCGTAACGTGTTCATAATTTACTTTTTTTAGGGTCAGATTGCGAAAGTAAAGCGTGTGTTACGGTCCCTCCTCCAGCAAAAATTATCATCGTTTTAACTTGAATAGACGTGGCAAATTATTCCTCCTGCAGCACACCGCTGTGTTGGAGAGAAATCCGCAACATTTAACAATTTCAAATTGCCTGACGATGCTGCTGGTTGTAACTACCCGGAGAGACATCGTACGAACCCAATTTGTTAAAAATGTGTGTGGAGCGCTCTCCCAACACACCGGTGGTGCTGAAGCAGTGAGAAATTGGGACGCGTTTGTTCACGTGACAATTTTATCAATCGGCTGTGTCAGGTGGAGGACGGTGTACTACACACATTTTACTTAGGCGTTCTGACCCAAAAAAATATATATTACGAATCATAATTGTCTTGAAAGCCAACGTGTTCAATTTACTGTAACGGGTTTTCCTTGTCTCATTTGCTGTTGGATTTGTGATTGTTAAGTCTAAAAGAGAAAAAAAACACTGGCACCGCTTCGAAAAATTTGAGTTTATGTTGAATTGTGACGAGGATCATCCCGTTTCGCCAGTTGCCCGGCTATTTTACACGGGAGAATCTCGGTGTGTGAGCATAGCAGCAGCAGCAATACAATTCCAAAGACAAAAAGCATCAACATTGCAGAGAGCAAGTACAGGGTCCTTAAGTAAAAAATTATGTTTTTATATTACCAGGTACAGGGCCCACTGAGCTATGTAGCTCTTTTTCAGAAGCGACCTGGCCACAAATGATAGCCCAATTAAATGGCTTATCACGTGGAAATGTATAGAAGCAGACACATACTGTAAACGCGTGTTTCTCAATGTGGAGGGGAAAACGAGAGGCCCCTGAGAAAAAACCACGTGACCACGGGGAGGGAGACACGCAAACTCCAAATATACAGCAGGCGTCAGGGTCGGGATTGAACCCACGACCTCCTGCATACCAGGCGAGGTTGTTAACATCTCGCCACCGCAACACCCCAATCTTGTCTTCAGGAATATAAGATGCACTCCAGTGCCAATAAAGTAATACACATGTGATCACACACTCACCTACCATATGATAAAATGCAACCCTCCCACCCCCAAACTTTGAACTTTAAATACAGGCGGAGGAAAGTATGACCACGATTAAACCCGGGAACCAAGGCACACAGAGTGTTGGGTTGTGCCATACTACTTGGATGTACAAATAATACAATTACTGTATATATACCATTATTATCTTAAGACTACAAATATCGTTTTACATTACTTTATAGATGTTCTGCTCTTGTAACATTTATCATGGCTGCTTCATGTAGTCAAACATATAGTTAAACTCTATACATTAATTCATTATTAATTATTATCCTATCAAATTTGAATTGCCATGTAAATGAAAACTACATTAATATTAATGGTGTGCTGTATTGCTGTATAAATTCATGTTTTGTTATCAAATGTGTACATTTCTGAATTGAGACTTTTTGTGGAAATTACTATATTTTTTTATACACGCAATATTTGTGTGGCCATACACTCATCTTTTCATGACACATGGAGACCATATATACAAACCTATACAGACAAAGATCCCCTGTAAAGCCTTTGAACAGACTGTTGAGGCAAGCGCTACTTAGTGAGCACCTATAAATGCCGGGCACAGCACACGAGGAAGTGGGTGGCCAACAACTACAACCGACCACCTTTGTCTCCCCAGCCGCGATGTATACACATCACACGAGGTGTTTGTTTAAGGCTGCGTCGATCTAGGGGAGGCCCAGCACCGGTTTCAGATATTCGTAACCGTCATTGAGTGGGAATCGAACTTCGGGTCGAAGGTTCGTAATGAAGGTCACGAACTGCTGGTCCTCCACTCGCCACAAGCCCTTGTAACACACTGCTTCTTGCAATTGATGGCAACTGCCTTTCCCATTCAAATCTCAGATATTTTGCTGATTTAGTATCATATATGCTAGGCGCAGGAGAGTCCATCACATACATTATGGCTTTATATCTGCATATATATATATAACTTAAATCTGTGTCCCTTGCAAATATCATTAATAAAACGTCAGCCACTCGACCTGCTCCAGTGCCTCATTCTTTTATGTATTACTCTTTAAGTATTTATGCTGAGCAGTGAAACTTATATTTGGAACTCAAATTGAAATTCATCTAATGCCAGACGTACTGTGAATCGTGAAAGGGCACACTAATCAGTACAATGTTATGTTGTGCTGCTGTTTTGCCACTGTGGCATGTCCTTAATTCACGACGTTGGTCAGTCCAGGTTAGTGCAGAGGGCGGCGTGTCAGAAGAACACTTTTAAGATATCACCACAAATCAAACTCAGGTCATAGGAGTTATAATGCAGTGCACTAACTACCGTACCATCAACTCCATCCATCCCAGACATGCAATTAGTTCTCTTCTTTGGTTATTTCGGTAAAGTCACGTAGAATGAGAATAAAATAATAAATTGATAAAATAAAATAACACAATAATATTCTCACGACGTTTCGGCCACAACACAAGCGGCCTTCGCCTGATGTGTTGTGGCCGAAACGTCGTGAGAATATTATTGTGTTATTTTATCAATTTATTATTTTATTCTCATTCTACGTGACTTTACCGAAAGAACCAAAGAAGATGAATCCTTGCAGTCACGAAAGCTTTAAATCTAAATTCAATTAGTTCTGTTTGTGATTTGTTTACATGATTCACCTTGCTATGTACTGTATCCGGACATGCGTTTACAGTTGAACATAGCAGTCCTGTATATAAAATATATTATTAAATACTATACATGTTTTGGAGTGGTGGTGTAGGAGTTAGTGCGCTGTGCTGTGAATCCGGCGACGTGAGTAAAACTCCTGGTCATGGTCAACATCAATACTATCTCAACTTGTCCTGGGCCCACCAAAGCTTCAGCCACCTCCGATGACCAGGCACAGTGAAGTATGGTCAAACAGCCTCAATGACTGTCACGGCGTCGGGGGAAAAAGGGTGTTCATCTGGCAGTGGATTGGTTAAAACCGTAACAGGCTGGAAAGTATGACTGAATATTTTTTTTACTTAAAATTTTCGTGACTGCAGGAATTCATATTATTGGTTCGTTCGGTAAAGGCACGTAGATAGAAAATAATATATATATAATACAAGCAAAAAAACACGACGTTTCGATCGCTTGTGTTGCGATTTTTTTTTTTTATCAACGTGACTTTACCGAAATAACCAAGAATATGAACATTTGTTTTAAAGGATAAGATTGTTGCCTATAATCCTCGATAAATATACAATACTATTTGACTTGATGTAAGCCACGTCGCCTACGCAACAGAAGCAATGTATCATGCGCCTCAACGAGCCCAATATTTCATTTGCTGGTTAAATTATGGATAATAACTACGACACATTATCAATATCACCGGGAAGCGTCACCGACATCCACCGAGCCTCCACAAAGGTAACTTAACGGCTTAATCACCCCGATATCCACATAACGATGTTGCAGACGATGTCACCTTGCCATTCATATATATCGATGTTGAACTTTTTTCGCACCGTACCCTAACCGTGATAATCAGCGGTGCGGCGGGGTGGGGGGGATATAACAAACTAAACACAAAAAGCAGTTCTAAAGAAAATTAGTTTTCAATATAGATTAAAAATAGCACAGCTCCAGTGGCTTCCGAATATTCGAACTCCTCGGTGCTGGTCTATGAATAACACGCGAGTGATCAAGCCCCATTTGTTAAGCTTGTCAGCTTCCCCTTGTAAATTGGCGTGACAAAATGGCCTTCTGCGGTTTTTTTGTTATTTAATATTAATCTTTTTTCTTTTTTTACAAAATCCACCTCCCGGCAGGAGCCGTTGCTCGATTATTATTTTTATTCTGCTTAAAATCCATCTCCGCGGTTTTCGGGAGCAGGCGAGTAATGCAGTGACTCATCGCCACCACTACCACCATCATCACCACCCGCCCGCGTGTGCGTGGTGTGTGTGTGGGGAGGCGGTGGTGTAGTGGTCAGCGCTACGCTGCGCTACGAACCCGGCCACCCGACTTCGATTCCCGCTCACGGCCAACACCCCAGTGATAATTATCTGAACCGGTCCTGGGCCTCCCCTAGGTCGACTCAGCCTCAAATGTGTACCCGGTGCGGTGCGTAAACATCGCCGCTGGAGGAGACAAAGGCGGCCGGGCGTGGTGGTTGCTGGCCACCCACCCCCCTCGTGTGCCATTCCGGCTTTCATAGGTGCTCGCTAACAGCACTTGCCCCTACAGCCTGTTAAGGCTACACGGGGGGGGGGGGTCTTTGTCTTTGTGCGAGTCACCTGATATAGCACCTTGGATGATCGAGGGCAGGGAACAGCCCCCACCCCATGCGTTCGGATCGATTTGCGTCGCAAGCTTGGAACGCGAACTGCTCGCTCCACGTGCTACTGCTGCTGCTGTGACAA